ATCGCCGTGAAAAACCAGGAATGCGGAGGAAGAAACAGGCGGATGAGGAGGATGAGGACGACGACGGAAGAGGAGGAGGAGGAGGAGGAGGAGGAGGAGGAGGAGGAAGATGGAGGAAGGATGAAGGAGGACAGAAACGGTGGACGGCGAAGGGTGGCAGAACAGTGGGGGTCAGCGGAGAGAGGCGCAAGAAAGATGACAACGTCGTGGGAGAACTGCGGCCAGAGTCGTGATTTTGTCACGACGCGGGGGAGTCATGGAAGGAGGTGTGGGTGGGAGCGGGAGGGGCGCTCAAGTATGAGGACGTTGTTCGGCACGCGGAGAGGCGCCTCGACTCTGGAGAGGTTTTCCACGACCTCTGCCGAACGCTTCAGGCCCCCCCCGCCCAGCTCAGGGGGTAAGTGCCAATCGGGATCCAGATTTCTTCTGAGGGACCACGACTACCTGGATCTCGACATGCGCCCACCTATCCACACGAGGCCAGTGGACGCCCAACGGCAGATGACTCAAGTTCGTGTGTCCTGCTTGCTTTTCGAGGCCACGGGTGGATTGCCCGCTATACCTGCCAGAGCACCCTGCCCCTTCTAATTTGGTAGCCGTGCGATTCTTGTGCCGCACTTATGCTCAGTTCGGACCTCATCAGAATCCTCAATTTCGGCCTTGATGGAATTCGCTTCATAACATGAGCTTGGTCGTCACATGGCCCCCCGCACAGATCCTGTCCATTAGGCTTACAAGCCTCCCTGAATGGCTCCAGGGCGCTCCAGGCACCATAAGTTTCACGCAGCCATGATACAATGGGACCAAGAGTTGTTCTTGTGGCGCACTGTGCCCGATGAGGTATGTCTACCTTCGATGTGTCTATGTCTTCCCCCTTTTTATGTTCTAGCGTGGATGGCAGGGGTGATTTTGCCGAGCATGAGTTGGTTCCGCTCCTGGTTTTCTTATGTGTTGGGGGGGTTGGCCAAGAAACCAGACCCCCAAGTGATCGGCATGATGTGGCCGATGACCTCGTTTCTCCATGGGTGAAGAGCAAGATCCTCGGTTAGTCATACCTTGAGCCAAAGATGGCAGTGGAGAGCAGGAGCATGGAAGAGAGATGTGTACACTAACGCATCTTCGTGCCGTCCAGCACCGTAGATTAAGACTGGGCCCGCATATGGGATGGACTTTGCCCTACACGCCCCGGGCCTCCCGAGGGTCTAGTATCCTGCGAGTGTCCTGTGTGCTGGGCTCTGCTCCTGCTGCTGCTGCTGCCGCTCGGGAAGAGCTCCAGGGCACGCATGGTGTTGCTGTTGCGCCCTTTCGGGCAGCTCGTTCCCTCGCTTCTTCTCGTCACCTGCTCTGACAGTAAGCAGCAATACCGAGAACTGACCGAACCAGCAGCGAAACCGAGACCGACCGCCCGAAGGCAGCCCAGAAACACGCAACAGCGCAGCAACCGACCGAACCGAACCGAACCGAACCGAACCAAATCGTCGTCATCGTCGTCGCATTCGCCGTCGCCGTCGCCGTCGTCGCCGTCGTCGTCGTCGTCGTCGTCGTCGTCGTCGTCGTCGTCATCGGTCGTCGGTCGTTGGTCGTCCGTCGTAGTCGTCCGTCGTCGTCGTCGTCGTCGTCGTCGTCGTCGTCGTCGTCGTCGTCGTCTGTCGGTGTTGTCGTCCGTCGTCCATCGAATGTCGTCCGTGGTTGTCCGTCGTTGTCCACCGTTGTCCGTCGTCCGTCGTCCTTCGCCCGTCGTCCTTCGTCCGTCGTCGTCGTCGTCGTCGTCGTCGTCGTCGTCGTCGTCGTCGTCGTCCGTCGTCCGTCGTCCGTCGTCCGTCGTCCGTCGTCGTGGCCGTCGTCGTCGTCGTCGTCGTCGTCGTCGTCGTCTGGCGCCAGGGTGTTCCGAATAACCCTCCCCCTGAAGGGGGGGACTTTCCAACTCCCATCCCTGTTGCACCAGTGGGGAAGGGCGTGGGGGGGGTCCCTCCCCTACTTGCCAATGCACACAGACGGCGCTCTGTCACATACGTATGCGTGTATATAATGGGTAACATCCGTGCGGACTTGGGGAGAGCTCGGGCCCACGAGTGAGCGGAGCCCTCCCGGTTCGCACCCGGTGGCAAAGGACGCCCAGTCGGCCCAGGATCAGATCATCGGGCACTTTAGCCCACAGAGTCCTCTGGTTCGCCCAGCCGCCAAGGCACCGCTGGCACCAAGCGCTGCCATGGGTGCACCCTGAAGCCGTGTGCCAGACAAGTACGCCCAAGCATCTACATTGGTTGCGTTGGTGCGGAAACGTGTCCTGCGCGTCGCGCCATCTGGCGCTTCCAGGCAATCCGTTGAACAGGAAACGAAGGACGTGAAAGCCAGATGTGAGGCACTGCGCGTGCGCCAGTATTTGCCATTCCTGACCTAGCCCTGGGCACCACCGCCGCCTCGCGCTAACGTCGCGGCGCCAGGTGGGCACGTGTAGCTTCTTAAAAAGCCTTGCGTAGCCGAAGGTACTTATGCGGATGTTGGTGCGCAGTGGCCCACCACGGCAACTTGTCACACCGTGTCATTCCACGGCTGCGGGCGGGGCTGGGTCCCCAAACGTCGTGCCTGGAGGGCGCAAAGGCGACTATCGTCTGCGCCGCGGCAACTGGGCATCTGGGCCCTCCAAGGATCTGCTAGGATAGCCCTATCCTGGTGAGGACGAAGGCGGGCGCCCAGGACGTACCGGCTAGCCCGATGGCGACGCGCAGGTCCCATTGCTTATTCGAAAGGCGGCGACGGGGCGATGTAGTGCGCCGGGTACGGAACTAGGGAGGCAATGTAGGCGTTCCAGGCTGTTGCCCGGCGCCCAGGTGATGCGCGGGCGGCGTGCAGCGCGAGAGATCTGTTCTTCATCTTGGCTACGGCCTTGTCCCCAGTGCCTTGCGTCATGGCGCCGAGCCGCTCGGAGCAGATCCCTCCCTGTCGTGGTGCGTGGGGCCCCTCGCCCCTAGGGGTGACCACAACGCCAAGGTATGGCCACTGGGGCTTGACAGAGGAGCTACCGAAGGGCGATGCGTTCATGACACTTTGCCACCATTCACACGCTGCGCCAGGGACGATTTTTGGTTTAAAATAAAACAAATGGAGCACGTGCAATTGCGTTGCCAGCCCCATGCGCCTGCAACTGCTGCTGGGCCAAGATCGTTGCTCAGTATAGTCATGGCCAGGTCCGCAGGTAGCCCAATGATGCAGATGTGTCTGCCCTTCAGCGGAAGCCTGTGCCGAGAGTGGGGTCGCGGTCAGTACGGCATCCAGGCCTTCAGGCCGGGTGGGCAGAGCAAGTCCTGTGCACGTGTGCGACGCGATCAGGAGCCCTGTAGCCTGTGGCCCACTGTAGCATGATCGAGGCACGGAGGGCGTGCTCGGCGGAATCCAATCGAGCCGCCAGGTCGTCGACGCTGGTGGGGCATTTGTTGGCTGCTGCTGCTGCTGCTGCCGTGGCCGCGATCACGGGGTCGTAGGCCATGCGCCAGAGGAGGGGCGATGCAGTGCCCCCCATACCGATGGAGCGCAGGAGCCTGCGCCTGGGCCCTGTGTACTTTCCTTTGCAAGTCTGGACGTCTCTGTCTACGACAAGGGCCAGCAGGGCGTGCTGTAGCCAGTTGGGAAGGCCCCAGCGGCCCAGAAGCGTCACTGCACACTGTAGCGACACTTTCTCGAATGCTTTGCTCTGGTCGGCGAAAAGGATGGCGGGCGTGGGGGTGGGGCCTATGGTCGCAACCACACGCCGAATGTACTGGTCTACGATGGGGGGGCGCCCCGTCATAGCAGCGAGGCGCGGCTGCTGTGGCTACGTGCTCGGTTGCGGCTCTGATGTTGGGCCCGCACTGGCCTCCCGCCTGGCAGCCTGGTCTGGAGACAGCTGTGGCTCAACCAGCGGCCCCAGCAGATCGGCCAGGGAGGCCCCAAACAACCTGCGCATGCACGTGGGAAGCTGCAGCCGCCAGAGATCATTCGGTCTCTCCGCGTTAGGAACCTTACGGATCCAGACAAGGAGGTCGACTGACGGGCCCAGAACCACGTCCAACAGGGCTGGGTCGCTTTCGGCTGCGTGCTAGGCGTTGGCCAGCAAGCATGCGACGAAAGTCGCCTGGGGGTGATATACCTCGTACGGTTTTCCGTCCACTCCAGGGGCACTGCCGCTGGGCCGTAGCAGGAGGGCGGCCAGTCTGCTCCAGGTAGGCTGGAGCTTTGATCCATCTGAACCCGTCTGCCACCGGAGAACTCCGCATCGAGGATATGCATACATTTGCGATCATACATATACATTTACAGTTAATTATGATTTGACTTGTTTATCGATTTACTTGTTCATATATGCATCGAGTTGCATTTACATGTACAACTATACATATACATATATATATATATATGTATACAAATGTTCGACGGTGCTTGGACCAAATTCTGGATCCTCGATCATCCTCCTCCTCGATCCTCGGTCCTCGGCCTCCATATTCCAAAGTCTGCTCAAAGTCTGCCCCGCACCCCTTCCTGGGGTCCATCCTGTCGAGCGTTCCGAGCTGCCCCCAACGCCACGAAGGGGCCCTGGGCGGCCCAAAAAGAGTGGGACAGTTCAAGATCGGCCTGCCGCGTGCTCCGAAGCGCAGCACGTCTTCTCCGCCCTAGCCCGCTCAGCGCCCCATCGCCAGGCGGACCCCTGGGAGGAGCTCGTCACACTCGTCGCGCTGTAACGGTCGGCCGACCGTCATGCTCTTCGCCCCGATGGCTTTGTAAAGAAGATGCGAAGCAACTGGGATCTCGCATGGGCTTCGAGACGGATCCAGCACCTCACAGTTCGCGATCCTCCTCCTCGATCCTCCTCCTCTTCCTTCCTCCTCCTCCTCCTCCTCCTCGATCCTTCTCTTGGGCGGGGTTGGGTCCCCGGCTCGATCCTACTGATCCTCGCTCCTCCTCCTCCTCCTCGCTTCTCGCTCCTCCGCGATCCATCTCTTTGGTGGTGGGGGGGCCCCCGGCTCCAGCCGCGCAAGGAAGCTGGACAGCTTGATGGACCAGAGGCGCACGACGCGGTCCGTGTGGCATGACAGGAGGCACCCCTCGCGCTCGAGGAGGAATGGCGAGGGGAGGGCTCTCTTCCTCCTCCTCCTCCTCCTGCTCCTTGGTGGAAGAGCACCCCGCTTCTCATGGGATCGCCCCCCTTAAACATATCCTCTCTCTCGCGCCCATTTTCCCTTCCTGACAGCCCCCCCCCTTTCGTGGGCAATGCAATGAACCTCCTCCCTGGCGCGGAGCGGCCTCGAGGGCTGCCGAGCGACGGACCCCGCGAGGTTGGCGCTGGATGTTGGGCTCGCCTCCTTTGGATTCGCCAGGGTCTCGGCCGCACGCGTTGGGGCCCAACTGACCAGGGCTAGAGCTCGGCGAGAGTCAAGACCACAGGGCCAACACGTACCCCGTGAGAGATCCGGAGCCCTCCTGGAGGAGGAGGAGGGGGACCAGAGTAAACCCAAGACCCATCAAGAAAGTTGCAATACACCCTCACTCCAAGTTCCCCTTTCATATGGTCTTATAAAACGTATCGTCACTGCGGACTGTTGCGACCTGGCGAACAAGAAACACGTCCCAGAACACTATTCCTGGGGCGTCAATACCGCGAATCAACGTGAGTGTCGCGCCCTGACAATCACAAATCGTGCCAAAACACCATTTCTGGGTGGTCAACCATGAGAATCCTTGAACCTGCTCTACACTGTAAAGACGACTGCGTGCGGCGCTGAAACGAGAACCACATTTTGAAAACGGCATGCCTTCCATCCATGCTGCTCTGCCAAGCGTTTAAAGCACATGTGCGCGGCGCCGAGGCGAGAACCACATTTTGAGCAGAACCCGCTCTCCATCCGTGAAATTTTGGCAAACTTTGAGACGAACGTGCGCAACGTTGAGGCGAGAACCACATTCTGAAAACAGCCCGCACTCCATCCGTGAAACTCTGAGAGGCTTCTAAAACGAATGCGCGCGGCTGAAGCGAGAACCACATGTTGAAAACTTCCCGCCCTCCATCCGTGATCTAAAACGACTGTGGGCGGCGCAAAGGCGAAAACCGCATTTTGAAATCGGCCCACCCTCCATCCTTGAAACTTTCGCAACTTTTTAAAACGAATGTGCGCGGCGCTGAGGAGGGAACCACATTTTGAAAACGGCCCGCCTGCCATCCGTGAAGCCCTCGCACATTTCAAGCTTCAAGGCGGTAAACATGATGCGGAAGTCTCAGGCGAAACGCCAGGCCCCCCAGGCGGGGGGCGGGTGCGGTGTGTGTGTGTGTGTGTGTGTCGCGGCTCGCCCCGAACACAAGTGCTCTCGCAAGGCCAATGCTATAACAGAGAGTGAGAGAGAGAGAAAGGGGAGTAAAGAGAGAGAGAGAGATAACAGCAACAAGAAAGTGAGAAAGACAAGAGAGAGAGAGGAACACACACACATATATATATAGAGAGAGAGAGAGAGAGAGAGACAGAAAGAAAGAGAGAGAGAGAGAGAGAGACATAGAGAGAGAGAGAGAGAGAGAGACAGAGAGAGAGAGAGAGAGAGAGAGAGAGAGAGCGAGAGAACAATATACAGAAAGCAAGGAGAAGGGGGAAGGAGGGGGATGAGGCAGGAAGAGGACATAGAAGGGAGGGGGGAGGAGCAACACACTGAAAAGATGAGAGTGGATGAGGAGTCAGAGGGGGGCAGAATGAGTGAGCGAGCACAGGGGGCGCCCAGAGTGGCTAAAAGGAGGATCTAGAGAGGGGGGGCAGGCGGCAATCCTTGTGCTCGAGGACGATCATCTTCTCGACTCCGGGGAACTGCTCGTCCGCGACCTCGTCCTGAATTGCCAGACCCCCTGCTAGAGCCACTATGAGATCTGCCATCCCACGCTCTTCTTTTCTGTCTCTCTCGCTCTCTCTCTCTCTCCCTCTCTCTCGGGGAGGGGCAGCCCTTCCCTCGCTCCGCGTCGCAAGACGTCCCCCTTTCGCCTAGCTGCGCGGAAACGACCAGTGGCGCAAGAACGCACGGCGGCGGCCGCTTCCGGACTCGGACTCGGACTCGGCCTGCTTCATGCGCCGCGAGGGTGCTGCAGGGTGGGGCCGAAGCGCCCAACAAATGCAAATAACAGTGAAACACATTCAGCATATAGTGAGACTACAACGGACAATAACAAGATGCGTGACGAATGCAACTATGACCTGTGTACTCGCCGGCTGGCCGCTCATGTGACGATGTAGCGAAAATGGATAGAACCAAGAATACTGTACAATGTACACGTATACAGCGTACAAACATGTTTGCACAAGTACGGATGGCAATAAGATTGTGGAGAAAATGCACTTGTAATCGTCGTCGGCCGCCGTGTGGACCCCAAGCGGTGTGTACGCCATATGTGTATGTCGTGATCGGCACAGGTCTGCACATGCTGGTCCCTCTTGGGGCAATCTCCCCCCCCCCCCGTAGGGCCATCTTGGAATTCCCGTGGGTCCTCGTGGGGCCTCGTGGGGCCGCCGTAGGGCCATGCCCAGGCGCATTCCTTCTTCTTGCCACGAAAGCAGCAATCACATCAACATGGTTTCAGCTTGTGCGCGTGCCGTTCGCATCACGATCTGTGTGAGAAGAGATCGCGATGCAGATCCGCAGCCCCAATTGAAAAGGGTGACTGTGGATGCTGCACATGAGGATTCAACCGGCGCCAGAAGACAGCAAGCACCAGCCATGAGGGAGGAAGACGGGAGAGGAGGGGGACAGGAGAACGAGAAGAGAACATATGTATGCATTAATCCGTTGAGAGCGCATACCCCCATGATCCGAATGATCATTCATATAAACGGGCGTCAGATAACAGCAATCAAGGAACGCAACACAGCGCAGTACCTGACACAAGGTCGAAGTACACCCCGAAGCCATGTCATGCCAATAGCAAGCTGGCTGGGCGGTACCCCGTGCCCTGGGTGGGTGGCATCGCTTGCACACAGTCGCTCACACACACCAGCGCGCACGCCGCTTAGCTTGCACACCACGTAGGTCACTCCGTATAGCTCACACCAAAAACCCACGCCGCAGAGCTTACACACCACGGCCTGCACCGCATGGCTCACACCATGTACTTCGCTTCACATAGTGAGCGACACATAGCTCACTCCGAATAGCTTCCACCTCCAGGGTGCACACTGGCTAACATATGCTGACCGATGTTCGATTTTCAGTGCATCTATTGTTCGATAGAGGGATGCCTACAGGGAAGTTCCCTTTCAAATCTGGGTTGTCGCCTGAAGGGCAAGCCGATCGGGTGCTGGTCTTTCAAAGGGGCGCTCCTCGCAGTAGGAAGGAAGGCTTGTGGGGACTTGTGAGGCAAGGACTTGGAGGGTGTGTTGCAGCTTCGTTGATGCATCTTGGGTTTGCTCTGGTCGTCCTGCCTCTCCTCTTCCCCCCATCCTCGCCGCTACCTGGTGGGGATGTGGATCTTGATTGGGTGGAAGAGACTGGGTGTCTGGCCACGAAGTGAAAACGCGAGAGAGAGAGAGAGAGAGAACGGGAAAAGGGAAGAGAGAGAGAGAGCGAGAGGTAGCAGCCCCGACAGCGACGAGGCTTCCAAACCTTGGGGGATGAAGTCCCTGAGCCTGGCAGAAGCGAACCTTGCGACCACGCGCGACGACCCCCACGATCCTCGCCGACGAGCGGGTCCAACCCCGGGAACCACGCGGCGCCGGGGAGGGCGGCATCGCCCGTGACGCCGAAGGCGTGAGAGGCGCGGCTCCTGGCGCCGCGGGCGGCCTTCGGCGGCCTTCGGCGGCCATCGCTCGCACCTGGCAGCCTCGGGCGGCCAGGGAGGCGGCGCAGAGGTCGTCGTGCGTTGCTTGTCATCGTCGTCGACGCCGACGGCGTCGAAGTCGCCTGTCGTCGTCTTCGGCGGGTGCGGGTCGGAAGGGGTCGGCCTTCTCAGAAGGAAGGGGGCATCTTCTTTAGAACAGGCCCGCGACTTTCATATCGGAGCAAGAAATGAAGTGCACATAAGCTTTCGGAGGTCCGCGCTGATTTTCCCCAGGTAGGATCACGGTTCAATGAGTTACCGCTTCCAAGAAATCCATGAGTGCGAGCACCATTGAATCCCAGACGGCGCATGCAAACAACAGAGCACAATATCGTTACAACCAAAGAAACACAATTCAAGGATATTGTATGGATCCCCAACAAAACGCGGAACTATGGGGACCAACAGGGAGCATTCCGCTCCGTGAGCTGAAGCCATGAGCAAGTCAGAGCATGACCCTGAAAGGTTTCTAAAGTTTTTACCCCCCCGGGATCTCTCGGCGGTGAATGACACTGGTCCTGAAACCTCCTCGTCGCAGCGGCGATTAGTTTCCCTCTATTATTGGGCGGGCTGGGTAACGTTTGGGGGTTATCTCTCCCGCGGAATAATCCATTGTGGGCTACCCTGCACGCGGGAGGACTTGTGAACATCTTCTCATGGATATTGCAGTCGGGTTGCTCCGTTTTGACATGCGAGTTTGCTCGAACTCGCTTGCCTAGACTGATGGCATAACTCCTGCTGGCGCTTGGTTGGCGTGCGCGGAGACATGGGATTTGTGTTCCTCCATTGTTGGGCGGGCTTGATATTTTGTTGGGTCATTTCCTTAATGTATTGATCCACTGTGGGCTACCCTGCTGGCGCCTGGTCGGCGCGCGCGGCGACATGAGATGACTTTCCCTCTTTTGTTGGGCGGGCGGGATAATGTGTGGGGGTTATTTCTCCAGCGAAATAATCCATTGTGGGCTACCCCCTGCCGCGGGAGGATTTGTGAGCATACTCTCATGCGGGTTGCAATAGGAACTGCTTCGTTTTGACGAGCGATTTTGCTCAAAATCGCTTGCCTAGCAATGCTGGCGGAACTCCTGTTGGCGCCAGATCGGCGCGCGCGGAGACGTGGGATTTGTGTTCCTCCATTGTTGGGCGGGCTTGATATTTTGTTTGGTCACTTTCCCAATGGAATCATCCACTGTGGGCTACCCTGCACGCGGGAGAATTTGCAATCGTATTCTCATCAGGATTGCACTATGACTTGCCTCGTTTGGATTCGCGAATTTGCTCGAAGTCGTTTACCTTGCACTGTTGGCACAACTCCTGCTGGCGCCTGGTCGGCACGTGCGGCGACGCGGGATTAGTTTTCCTCTACTGTTGGGCGGGCTGGGTAATGTTTGGGGGTTGTTTCGCCAACGGAATAATACATTGTGGGCTACCCTGCGCGCGGAAGGGTTTGTGAGCATCTTCTCATGAGAATTGCAATGCACATTGCTCCAATGTTTTGCGAGTTCGCTCAAACCCGGCTGCCAAGCACTGTCGGTAGAACTCCTGCTGGCGCCTGGTCGGCGCGCGCGGCGACATGAGATGAGTTTCCTTCTATTGTTGGGCGGGCGGGATAATGTGTGGGGGTTATTTCTCCAGCGAGATAATCCATTGTGGGCTACCCCCTGCACGCGGGAGGATTTGCGAGCATCTTCTCATGCGGGTTGCACTAGGAATTGCTTCGTTTCGACTAGCGATTTTGCTCAAACTCGCTTGCCTAGCAATGCTGGCGGAACTCCTGTTGGCGCCGGATCGGCGCGCGCGGAGACGTGGGATTTGCATTCCTTTATTGTTGGGCGGGCTTGATATTTTGTTAGGTCATTTCCCCAATGGAATCATCCACTGTGGGCTACCCTGCACGCGGGAGGATTTGCAATCGTCTTCTCATGAGGATGGCACGATGACTTGCTTCGTTTTGATTCGCGAATTTGCTCGAAGTCGTTTACTTGGCACAACTCCTGCTGGCGCCTGGTCGGCACGTGCGGCGACGTGGGATTATTTTTCCCTCTACTGTTGGGCGGGCTGGGTAATGTTTGGGGGTTGTTTCGCCAACGGAATAATACATTGTGGGCTACCCTGCGCGCGGAAGGGTTTGTGAGCATCTTCTCACGAGAATTGCACTCAGAATTGCTCCGTTTTGATTCGCGAATTTGCCCAAAGTCGTCTGCCTATCACTGCGGACAGAACTCCTGCTGGCGCCAGGTCGGTGCGCGCGGCCAACATGACGACTTGTCCAGTGTGGACAATGCAGAACTTGCCATAATTATATATTGTTCACGCGACAGAGGATGGATTTTCTGATGGCCCGCGCGGGGCCTGAGCTTCAACAATCCATCTCGGGATGGAGCTTTCAGGACAAAGTTTCTGAGTGTCAAGTGCCTGGACCAAATTTCTCCATGAGAGCGCTGCTGGCGGGCGCCGCGGGGAAAATATCCGCATTTTCCCTCTATTGGTTGGACACCAGTCCGTCAATAAGGCCACCGAACAAAAATCAATTGCTGGGGGGGGGGGTTCTAAAGACCCTCTGGGGTTACGCGTGCACAGCCGAAGTGGCTCTGGGGTGCACTCGCGCAGCTACAGCGCTCGACCTCGCAAGGGCCTTACATTGATCCCCGTCTAAGCAATGAGTTTTGGGGACTTGCTTCGGCGAGTGAATCGCACGCATGCCGAATGCATGTTCGCTTGGCAAAGGATGTTTGGGTGCATCCAGAATACATGCAACAACGATTCGCGATTTCAGTCACGCTTGCATTTCACGCGAGCTACTGCGAGCACTGTCCACAGGCGGCCAAACCATGGATGTTCATAGACAAGCGTGCACGCGCGAAGAGGGGGAAGAGGAGGAGGAGGGAGGTGGATGAGAGGCACCAGTACACGATACAACTGTCGCTGTTGACGAAGTCGGTCCCAAGGTTCTGACCATACCAAAACTTGAAATACGCTCAGGCAACAAGGAGGAGGGTTCGGAAGAGTACTTAGGCCCCGTGCCTCCCCCTTGCTGGCGGTCTTGGGCAGACGCTGCCGTTGAAACAGAAGAAGACGAATGCCAACACGCCACGGACGCAGCTCTGTGAACGTGGAAACTCAGCATGTACAGATCCATGACCTCGAAATGAGACAACACATCATGGAATACCGAAAACATCGCTGCTCATTCGCACTAGACTCTTAATGCACCAGGTCCCACCTCAATAAACGCTGTGCAAGTTGTCAAAGATACCCCAGGGGTGCTTGAATAAACTCTCATTCATGGCAATGGCCTCCGCGAGCTCCACCAGACATGCGTCGTCCAGCAGAGGCATGCCTCCAGTGCAATTTTGCCAACGGATGACATGTTGAAATGGGCCCGTTCGGCGACGGGGCCCCGATACGATGTTGCCAAGGTGCGTCTCGTTGCTTCGTGCAGCGCCGGCATCCCCACGCAATTTGACATTGTTTTTTTTGTTATCGCCCCTCCGTAACGCTTGTCACGGGGGGTCCGCCCCACCCCCCCCGTGACGGTAACGATCGTACGGCGAGCGGTTGCGCGAACCCCCCCCCGTGCGCGCGTCTGCCGCGGTGTACACATCGGCGACGTACACAAGCGCTGTTCTGCACGCGGCTGTTGTGGTGTACGCTGGCGCTGTGGTGCGCACAAGCACCCCTGCATTGGTGACAATAGAAGATGATGTTCCTCCCTCCCCCTATCTTTCTCTCCTCACGGGCTCCCCTTGTGCTCGCGGGCTATTGTTGTGCTTGCACGCCGCGGTGCTCTCATGCTATTGCTTTGTTCACACCGCAAACAAAAAAGAAGGAGGGGGAGGAGCGGCGAATGCAACAGAGCGGGGAGGAAGCAGGTACCAGGCAACAATTTACATTCTTCCACGCCTCGACGTGCCAGGGGACACAGTGGCGGATCAAGCGGTTGCTGGCGACATGAACGTCAACTCTAGGAGGGATCGGTGTTGGACTCGCTTTCCTGGCGCATGGTCCAGCATCGACCCCAGCGCGGGCGCTCCAGGTTGCGACGCAGCTCGGGGGGGGAGGCCTGTCGGGCCCCAGGGCTCTCAGCAACGAGCCCGCGGTGCGAACTCATGGTTCAAGATCGGGCCGAGAGCTTCAGGTTGCGCAGATCGTTCAAGATTGAAAAATCCACGCGGTGTCAGATAGCAACGTCCCCCCGCCCTCCTCCTGCGTCCTTGCGAGTTCTGGTGTTCGCAGGCAGGGAGGTGCCCAAAGGCAGCAAGGTGTACACAAGCAGTGTCGGCCAAAAACCGGGGGACCGCGCCCCGGGCCACAAACGTCAATTCTCGCGGATGACTGACATATTGATTTTGATACGTTCGGGCCCCGGGCGGTGGCATTGAGTAAGCGTGCGCTCTGATGCACGCGGCCGCTATGAATGCTGTGCACGCCGCGCTCTGGTGCACGCGGGCGCTGCCTGCGGGCTACACAAGCGCTGGGGTGCACGCGCACGGCTACAGGTGTACATACGGCAACGGCTCTGTGATGCACACGGGTGTTGCGGTGTGCGCGTGCCATGTGGTGTGCACAGGCGCTGTGGTGCACGCGGGTCCTGCGACGCAAGCACTCACTCGCTCCATTCTGGTGCGCGCAAGAGCTGTGGGGCGCGCAGGCACTGTGGAGTACACTGGCGGTGTGTTGCACACGGCTGCTGTGGTGTACACAGGCGCTGTGGTCCACACAGGTACTGCGGTGTACACAGGCGCTGTGGTGTACACGGCTGCTCTGGTGTACACGGGCGCTGCGGTGCACACAGACGCTGTGGTGCACGCAAGCACTGCGGTGTGCACTGGCGCTGTGTTGCACACGGCTCCTGTGGTGTACGCAGGCGCTGCGGTGTGCACATGCGCTGTGTTGCACAGGCGCTGCGGTGCACGCGTGCCCCCCCGCGCCCCCCCCCCTCGCCCCCACCCCAATCGTTGCGGTTACCCCCCCTTGGCCCCCCCTCCCCCCGGTAGCTTTCGCGGGCCCAGGGTACAAGAACGCTCTCTTTGGAGTGCGGACCTGGGGGCTTCGGCTTCGGCCGAACACGTTTTTCCTAAGACATTTCGGGCGGAAGAGCAGTTTCGACTTCGGGCCGACGGGTTTCGGCATCATGTTGACAACGTTTCTTCGGGGAAGTCCCGAGCGACAACCACGCTTTCGACTTTTTGAACTACCGAATTTTAAACTTTAAATGCCAAACGGGTTGCCCGAGACCGAACGACGATTCCGCTTGAGACTTCCTCCAAATCTCATTTGGAACCTTTTCGGTTTTCGAAGTCGGGACGGGGGCGTCTTGCTGCTCGCAGGCGCTGGCGCTCAATGGCGTGTTGGTCTGCCCACCGTTGGAACCTTCGTTCGGCATTGTCTTGGTATAGCCACGAGACGCGTCAAAACTCTCGCAACGGCGATGTATGCTGGTCTGATTTGCCCTCGAGCACCTTCCTGACAGCCTTCGCCGCATCCGTTGTGGTCTTGCACGGCACGGCGTCTGCAAAGCCAGGCGTCAACACGGCGCAACGGCTGTGAGGCGGAACTTGGCTGCGCTCCTGAATGGCACGAGCCTCCTTCTCGACCGCGACCAAGTTGAAGCCGCCAAAGACACTCGGCTTCAACTTGAACCAACATGGTCCAAAATGGCTACGGAGGGTCCGTGAAGATTTCTTGGGCCACGCTGAGTCTCTGCCCCCTTGCGCGAAGAGCGCGGCAGGGGCAGCACTGGAGGCGCCGCTGGGGGGGGGGGGTCGAGCGCCAACCGAGGAAATCCGCGCAGGCCTTCGAGCTTCTCCATCATATGCATAAGATGTTGATCCGTCGATTCCAAAGAGGCTTCCTGGAAGGCCGGAATGCCTCTAGAAAGCCTCTGCCCTCTCAGAGAGGCCACCCCCCTCGCCCTGCCCCCTCCCGAGTGCCGTCGATCCTGGCGCCACGGTGGCCGTGCCACCCTGGCCGTTCTCGCCCCCGTCGTCTGCCCCCACCGCCGACGTCATCCGTCGCCGTCGTCGGCGTCGTTGTCCGACACCGCCAGCGAACAAAAAGCCGCTGAAACCCAGCCCCTGGACCCCTCCGGGGGCCCACTTGCCAGCCTCCTGGGCCACGCCCGGCCGGGGCGACGGGAACGACCAGAAGCGCACAAAACTACCCGACATGATCCCGACGTCAACAACGTCGCCGTCGCCTCCGAAGGCCTCCAGCTGCTTTCTTCGGCAGCCTTCCGCGGCCGTCGGCCGTTGGCTGTCGTTGTCGTCGTCGTCGTCGTCGTCGTCGTCGTCGTCCGCTCCTGGCGGTGGCGGATGCCGACGCGTTGGCCGACGCGGGGTGTGCCCACGCGCCCGCCGTGGCGGATTCCGACATGCCGGCGTCCTTGTCGCCGGCTTGCCTTCGAGGGGGGCGCGCCCCACCGCGACGGCGACGACCATGACGGACGACCAGCGACGGGCAGACTACAGACGATGGACGAACGGCTGACGGGCAACTGCCGACGGACAACGACCGACGAAAACGGACGACGACCGACAACGACGACGTCGTTGACGTTGGCGACAACAGACACGACGATCTGCAAACGACGACGACGATGATCGAACTACTAGGTTGACAATTTCTTCCTTTGGGGGGGATCCAGGAGGTTGGCTTCCCTGGGAGATGTTGGCCGAACGCGCCCCGGACAGGTCCCATGGGGGGGATTTTGAGAAAGGCCCAGGCCTCTGGCGATTCGAAAGATCGCAACGCTATTCTGTCGCCTTTTGGGGTTCGCTTTCGGGCCCCAGCGCCGCCAAAACTCCGCCGACCCTTCCGGCGTATGTGAAGGGTTGACGGCCTCCCATTCAGCCGCAGTGCGGTTTTTAAGCTCCCCCTCCTTTCCCTTTGGCTACCATATGGGGGCGTCTCCATGCGTGGCAATCCAAGGGAAATCGAGCAATGTCGCGATTGAGTCACAAGGAAACCACTTCCCTTTGCTCCGTTCCCCGCTGGGGTTGGGGTAGGGCGGGAGGGGGGACCCACGTAAGTTTGTGTGTGTGTGTGTGCCCCCCTCCACTTCCGAGTGACTTCAGCGATCTTGAAGTTCTTTGGCCGCCGAGATGGCGCCCACATTGGCTCCATATGGCTTCGAGCATGCGTCCTAGAGGTCCCGCGACGGACAGCTTCACCATGGGCTTCCCTGCAGAAGGAGAAATCCGATTACGACTCTCAACGCCACAAGCAATACCCGGAGTCGGATGAGGTCTTCGACATGGTCGCCGAGGGCCCCGATCATAAGTCCACGCACTTCTCCGATACAGCATTTGACAACCAGGACTCTTGCACTGGTCTCTGCGTGGATGGGGGACGCAGAAGGGCCTCCCGGGTACAGGGATACCCTGAGCGAGGTACAAGCAAGAACCACACTAGCCTGTCGACGACTGTCAAGAGCTGCGACGTCCACTACAGTTCCCTGCACATGTCAAGATCGGAGACTGCCTCTCGCTTGAACAATGGGACAATCCAGTGCTCACACCATCTCTCTGGCCGTCTTCCGTGCCAGAGGGCAGGAGGAAGAGGGACAGGGGTGCCCTCGTTGCGCAAGAACGTCCTGCTTGCCTCGCAGCATGAGACCCGCAACCAGTCGTGGCGTAGGCAAAAGATTTAAAGGAGGGCGACGCACCTCTTCCTGGGTCGGGTCCCGAGTCCAGCCCTGATGGACGCCTCGGGCTTGCAGATAATCATTTTCACTGTCATCCAGGATGGGGCAAAGCGTTAATTTGAGCACCCTGCAGCTGGCACAGCTCAATGAGAATGCCCTCCCGCTCATCGAGTTCCTGCGCGCAGGCTCTGGCACTGGAGCCCCATTGGAGGACTCCTAGAATCCTCGTATGATGTTGATTAAAGGCCTCCTCCAGGACATGACCAACACTGAGGCGACCATCCATGAACACTGAACTGAACATGATGAAGCTCCAGTTGCCTCTCAAGTAGTGTTTCTGGCACTGCGTTGGAGGCCCCATAAGAGGATGACGTCCATAATCGTGGGGCAACGTCCAACTGCAGCGATGCCATTGGAACGCGCATAGAAGGCGAGGAGCACAAGCGCCAAACATGTGGATGTCTTCTACCAGATCAGCAGGGTTAGGTTCTGTCAGCGTTGTGCGTATTTCGCCGCACGAGTGGACATTCGTCTCGCCGTTCAGCCGTCCAGGACGTCAAGGTCTCTGTGGCGCTCTCGGCGTCTGTCCACGGGAGGAAAACCGTGACGAGAGAAGGTGTACAAGCGTAGGCGGTCTGAGACTTTTGAACATTCGATCATGCGAAGACTCATGCGAGCTAGTTCATGCAGCACCAGCTCCTGTGACTCCCCTGAACAACGAGGTAGAGTCGCTCCGAATACCAGGATGTGTCGTCCCGCAGGGCTTCTGAGGTTGGTGCGATGCAGATGTTGCGGGTCTCAACGGTTGGGATTTCTTGCTTAGCGTGTCCGCCACATGTAACACCACAGCTAATATGATCTGACCCGGAGCATTTGCTGGATGCAAGCGTCGACTTATGGTGCAAGTTCGCTTTGTCGCGTGCGCGATGATAGACGTTAGGTCCCTAGGTTGCGGTTGCCTTTGCGGCCCCTGCGCGGTTTGCGCCTCCTTCCGTCCTTGCCCCGTTCCTCTGCCTTTCCCTTCTTTTCCCTTCCCCCCCTTAGGGCGCGAAGGTCGCAACTGCGCCGTGCGACCCTTCCGAGGTCTGGGTCGGGGCAGTTCGCCCGCAGGCTCGCGAGCTTTCAGTGGAGACAGCTATCTCGAACACCGTTTCTTGTTGTTTGTCAACGAGGGGTGATCTCCAGGAGCCACCGCCACCGCAATCAGCAGGCACCACCGCTCGGGTGCGCGTGTTTTTTGGTGTTGCACTGCCAGGGGGGTAACCATCTTACACGCTGAGCCCTCCCAAGGTTTTGGCGAATTTTGATTCGGGTGTTCATCAATCTCCTAAGACAACCCCTTCAGGGACTGGCCCTGGATAGCAACAGTAGCTGGGAGCATCAACTTCTGAAAAGTCTTAAGATCGACAGCCATTGCGATCGATCAGAAAATAAGGAGAGGGAAAGCTGGCAGGCACTCGCACCCGGTAGGTGGGAATGTGGGTAGCAGCCACCTGAGGCGAGGATCTCGAGCCAGGCCCTTGGCTGCAACAAGCTCGACTCGCCAGGCAACACGTTTCGAATATGATCCGAAGTGACTCGAGCCAAACTGTCTACGGATGATGAAGAAGATGATGATGATGATGAGGAGGAGGAGGAGGAGGAGGAGGAAGAGGAGTAGGAGAGGGTTGGAAGCGGGTGAAGGAGTGGAAGGGTCTCTTTTTGTAGGTCCAGGGGCCCGACACGGGCCCCAAAAAGGTGCTAAACCTTGAACGCCCGCGCCGGCGTCGCAGCCGTGTCGACGCGGCACGCATGTTCTGATGATAACAAACATCCGAGCACCCGGACAAGACGACATCCTGCTAAGCATCGGGCGTCCTCGTTTGGCGAATGCTCGCAGGGACGGCTGCCAGACATCCTCCCTTGCCCGAGAAACGGTGCACCGCAACGTCCGACTTCGGATGCAATCGCCCCAACACCAAACAGCCCGCACATCCGATCCAACTCAAGGCGCTGCTTCCCCTGCACTAGGCCGGCGGGCGGCCCCCTCTCGGCGGCGAGGAGGAGGAGGAGGAGGAGGAGGAGGAGGAGGAGGAGGAGGAGGAGGAGGAGGAGGAGGAGGAGGAGGAGGAGGCAGCCGAGGGGACGGATAACAAACGCTTTCGGGGCTTTCGAGGAGGACGACCCCCCCGGCTTGGCGGCGCGCGGGGGCGGGGCGGCGGCCGGCGGCCTGAGCACTTCTTGCAGGGGCCCGGTGGCTTCTCAAGGAGGCGTCTTGGAAGCCGCCAGGCCCTTGCAGGAGGGCCCCTGCCTTCTATCGGAAGACCCTGCGCCTTCTCAGAAGGCTGCCTCGCGCCACCCCTTCTGGGGTGCCGCTGACCTGCTGAGACGAGGGCGTGATCTTGTCGCTCAGCCGGTACTTCATGCCAGATGACGACTCCTGGATTTTCCAATACACCACGTATCCATCGTCGCCGCCTGTAGCCAGCAGCCCTGTATTGGAGGATAGGCGGGAGATGCAGGTGATGTCGTCTGTGTGGCCAAGGCCGCTGCTGTCTTCGAGAATGTACTGCGCCTCCACGGTCTGCTTTCTGCTGTCTGGCCAAACATAAATGCGCCGGTCCCAAGCGAGACCCACCACAAAAGTATTCGGCCCCTCGCGAGCCCACAGCAGACCTGTGAGTTCTGAAGGCTGCGGCATCGTATACGACTGCAAGAGCTGACCAGACGAGAAATTCCACAACTTAACGATACCATCCTCGCCGCCAGTGTATAATCTCCGCTTTGACTCGTCGAATGTCATGCATGTGAGCTTACTGTCCCGGTGGGCACGCTTGAAGTCGAACTGCAACGTACCCGTGCGTGCATCCCAAACGCAGATGCTTCCGATACTGTCTCCAGATATGATCTGTTGAAACACCTTGCAGCCAAGCGCAAATGTTATACAACATCCGATCTTAAACCACATCCACCCCAAACGCGCACTTACTCAAGGTGCCTGAGAGGCCTCCCTCTTCTCAGATGTCGATCTGGTGAAAATATCGCAAGAGATCACGATTCTCCCTCGCCCCCCAAGTAACATCTGCTGTAGCTGTGCTGAAGTAAAGCGGGCATTGGCGCGATCCTCCAATCAATTCGCGTGCCCCAAATCGAACAAGCTCTAACTACGGCATACAATTATTCCCCCAACTATCCTGTGGTGTTGGGTCCTCGTTTTGAAGAGACAGCGCCCCGCGTCCCTCCTCCTCTCCTCTCCTCTCCTCTCCCCTCCCCTCCCCTCCCCTCCCCTCCCCTCCCCTCCTCTCCTCTCCTCTCCCCTCCTCCTCCCGCTCCTCCCTTCCGCCTCGTCACCTCCCTGCGTTTCATCCACCCTAGACTACACCGAAGACTCCAATGGCACCATAGGGAGCTCCACCGAAGACTCTAATGGCACAGGCCGTATGCGTCAACGCCACCCAGGACAGCGTTTCATGACCCCATAGGGAGTTCCACCGACGGCTCCATGGCACAGACCACATGCGTCAACGGCACCCAGGACAGCGCTTCGTGTCCCCAAAGGGAGCTCCACCGAAGGTTCCAGTGACACAGGCCGCATTCGTCAACGCTACCCAGGACAGCGTCTGGTGTCCCCATAGGGAGCTCCACCGAAGGCTCCACTGGCACAGGCCGCATGGGTCAACGCCACCCAGGACAGCGTTTCGTGGCCCCAGAAGGAGCTCCACCGAAGGCTCCAGTGGCACAGGCTGCACGCGTCAACGCCACCCAGGACAACGTTTCGTGGCCCCATAGGGAGCTCCATCGAAGGCTCCATTGGCACAGGCCGCATGCGCCAACGCCACCAAGGACAGCGCTTCGTGGCCCCACACGGAGCGCCACCGAAGGCTCCAGTGGCACAGGCCGCATGCGTCAACGCCACCCAGGACAGCGCTTCGTGGCCCCATAGGGAGCTCCACCCAAGGCTCCACTGGCACAGGCCGCGTCAACGCCACCCAGGACAGCGTTTCGTGGCCCCATAGGGAGCTCCACCGCTCCAATGGCACAGGCCGCATGCGTCAACGCCACCCAGGACAGCGCTTCGTGGCCCCATCGGGAGCTCCACCAAAGGCTCCAGTGGCACAGGCCGCATGCGTCAACGCCACCCAAGACAACGTTTCGTGGCCCCACAGGGAGCTCCACCGAAGGCTCCAGTGGCACAGGCCGCATGCGTCAGACAGCGTTTCGTGGCCCCATAGGGAGCTCCACCGAAGGCTCCAGTGGCACAGGCCGCATGCGACAACGCCACCCAGGACAGCGTTTCGTGGCCCCACACGGAGCGCCACCGAAGGCTCCAGTGGCACAGGCCGCATGCGTCAACGCCACCCAGGACAGCGCTTCGTGGCCTCATAGGGAGCTCCACCGAAGGCTCCACTGGCACAGGCCGCATGCGTCAACGCCACCTGGGACAGCGCTTCGTGGCCCCATAGGGGGCTCCACCGAAGGCTCCAGTGGCACAGGCCGCATGCGTCAACGCCACCCAGGACAGCGTTTCGTGGCCCCATAGGGAGCTCCACCGAAGGCTGCAGTGACACAGGCCGCATGCGTCAATGCCACCCAGGACAGCGTTTCGTGGCCCCATAGGGAGCTCCGCCGAAGGCTCCACTGGCACAGGCCGCATGCGTCAACGACACCCAGGACAGCGCTTTGTGTCCCAATAGGGAGCTCCACCAAAGGCTCCTCCAGTGGCACAGGCCGCATGGGTCAACGCCACCCAGGACAGCGTTTCGTGGCCCCATAGGGAGCTCCACCGAAGGCTCCACTGGCACAGGCCGCATGGGTCAACGCCACCCAGGACAGCGTTTCGTGGCCCCAGAAGGAGCTCCACCGAAGGCTCCAGTGGCACAGGCCGCATGCGTCAACGCCACCCAGGACAGCGCTTCGTGGTCCCATAGGGAGCTCCGAAGGCTCCAGCATGCGTCAGCGCCACCCAGGACAGCGTTTCGTGGCTCCATAGGGAGCTCCACCAAAACCTGTACCCATTATGCGGTACTTGCAACTGCATATGGTTGGGTCCTTCTTTAGGCTAATATTGCACTGGGGTGTCTGTTGGGGCACCAGCGGCGGCGCTGAAGGGTCTGGCGCGCTGGGGCCTTCTGGTGTCCGGCGCGGGAACTCCAGGCATCGGAAATCCGAGCTGATCTTGCACCGCAGGCAGACCTCACCAACAGCGTATGGACGTTTTTGCCTCTGGATCATACGGACGTCGCGAGCGAGGCGCCACTTGGCCCGCGGGATGGCATCAAAAAGCATGGCTTGGCCTTTCATCGGGCCAATGAGCATCGACACCGTGCCATGGTTTCGGGCCAAGTCATGTTCGATCTGGGTACGGCTTGGGACTAAGCTTTTCCCTAGATAGGGACATCTCATTGGACCTTTTGTTCTCTTTACGCATTTTGCTGTCCATGGTCGCCTGTTGCATCGTCTAACATGCCCCTCTCCTCGCGCCCCCTTGTATCATCCTCTCCTGCCGCTTCCTGAGCTGAAGCTCACCACCCTGGGTGGTGTCTCGCTAGCCTGTGGGAACTACCTCTCTGGGTGCTAGCACCCAGAGCCCCACCTTCGTGCAGTCGAGCCCGCTGCAGATCGATTGTGTGCTCGACCCTGCTACCCGCGTGTTCGTGCCTGGGCAGCGAGCACTCCGCTGGCAGACGCGTCAACCAGAAATCGACCTCGAGGCAATGAGCGTGGCAGCTCAGGCGGCCTGCTGGCGCTGTCTGTGACTCAGGCCGTCGCGCCAGGGAGCAGCATATCGGAGGCACGGCGGGAAACGCACACTCCTCAGCCTGCAGCCCACCAGGGCTCTCGAGGAGCGCACGCCGTGCCGCCCACGGCCAGCGTGGGCCCCAGCGAATGCGGCACCGGAGGGCCACGCCTCGTGTCCCGCGCCGTCCGCCGGCCTCGTCCCCACGCCAACTCCTCCTGTCCTCGACGAGGCAGTGGAGAATGGCCACGCCGATCAGCAGTCGGCACCTGTGGGCCAAGTGCCGACCTGGGCGTCTTCCCAGGCTCAGCGGCTGGTATGTGCCCAGATGCAACAGCGCCTCCAGTACCGTCGCTCCCTCGCCTTCCCGCTGTGGCAGGCCCCAGCTGCACGGCTGACCAAGCGTGCGTGCCTACTGCGCCGCCCTCCGTCCTCCCTATGCGTCTGGCCCAGGCCGTGCTCTGGGTCCTCGTTGCTGGCTCTGGTCGCTGCCCTCGGGCTTCTGGACCCGGGGCTTCGCGTCCTGCTGTCGAGGTCCTCAAGGGTGCTCCCCTTCCTGTTCAAATGCGGGGCCCTCGTCAGCCGTGGTACCCAACCCTCCGGCCAGAATGCGGCCCTGTACCCACACGCCCCGCGCCGGGCCCAGCCTTGCCGTGGCGCCCTCTGGCCCAGGCGCGCACCTCCCGTCAAGGCCCCCGCTGCTCCCGACATGCAGGCCCTCGCCCGGACACAGCAGCCCCCGCGCGCACCCAGCCACCCACGGGCCCCCTGCAAGCGCCGCCCGCGGCCTGCCCCCCAAATGCGCGCACTGACGCAGGCCCGTGTGCGCCCCGCGCCACTGGCCAGGTCACGGCAACGAGGTGGCCCGGCTTCCTCAGCCAGCGGCGCTTCTCCGACGCGGGGGTCTGCCAAGGTTGCCACGGCCGGGCCGGGCGCGCGATTGCCCTCCCCAGAGGGGGCCCTGCCGCGGCACGACCGCCACGCTGAAGGCAACAAGCGTCGCAATCGTGGCCACGCCCCTGGCGCCTCCGCCGCCGCAGGGGCCCCTCCCGAGGACGACCCGCCCCCGCTCATTCGGAGGGCAGCGCGCCAAAGGGGCCCCGCAGCCCACCCCAAAGCGTCGCTCACGGATGCCCGGGCGTGGCTACGGCCAGTCGCTGCACACCTGTTCCTCGCTCTTGCGGGCCGGCGGGAGACACCTGGGGCTCCCCTCCGCCGAGTCGCAACGACGCAGGAGCTGTGGTCTTAAGCGACGGCTCTGGCGCCCCACACGGCGTCGAGCCCCTCCCTGGCTCATGACTACGCGGCCTTGTGCCCTGTACAACGCCGCCGTCCGTGCCGCTGCGGCACAGTCCGCGCGCAGACCATGCCCGTGCTGCCAGCAGCATGCGGCTGTCTCACCAGTCACTTGCCCTTGGCAGCGTGCTGAAGCGCGTCATGCGCTAAATGGGCTGGCAGCTCACTTGTGTAATCGTAAGCCCGGATACCAGCGCAGTCTGCCGCGCTACAGGAATGCTCCGAGCAGCCCGCAGGCATGCAGGAGACGCGTGCAAGGAAAATCGAAACGATGCCCAGCAAGCTTGCAAGCCTGAAGTGGGAGCTGCGCGCGAGTCCAGGAAGCTCCGCGCAAGATCTGCACAAACGGCTTGCTGCACACGTGTTGGGAACGAGTCGGTCAATTTTTCCAGGACGAGCCAGAGCGCCCGGCAACGCGCTGCGACGCTGCCTGACCGGCAACGCTGCTGCGAAGCTCGCCTACCCTTGCCTGCCAGTTTCTTGCATAAAACCCGAATTAGCTCTCAGGGCGCTATCTGGGAACTCCCCTGACTTCCAACCTAGGAGGTATTTCGGGCCGTTCGCCGAAGTACGTAGTGCGCGCTTCAGGGTGCCTTCGCCACCACCCTGTTCAACCGCGGCAACTTCCACCAAGGCGTCATAGGTCGCTGTGCCATTCCTGCTCGCCAGCAAGCGCCGTCAGCCACGCCTGTACCCGCGCGCCCAGCGCCCCGCGACTACCTGGCGTGCCAGGTCGGCACTGTGCCCTCCTGTTCTTCGTGTACTCCAGCATCAGTTTGCAGGATCAGCCCCCATGGCTGCAACGTCTGAGCGGGTTAGTGTGCCTGCTAAGCGTGGCGTGGACCCCGCGTCCAACTTGCGCGATCTCGTTTTCTTATTCGGCGTATCGACGTTGGGCGGAAGGTGGGGGGGGGGTCTGGCTCCGGACCTCTGCCTGATGCGACTGTTTGCAACAGTGCGTCCTATGGTGGAGACGCCATCTGTTTGAAAGAGGCGCCCAAAACAGCCAAGATCTACTCCATGAGGGGGGGGGTGTAAGGGCCCACGTCGATCGACAAGACAACGAATAAGGAAATTCTCTGATTCCTCCCCTTCCTCTTCCTCGTCCTTCTTCTTCCTCCTCCTCCTTCTCACGCGTAACTCAAGCAACCATGCCGATGGCGCCGCGAGACAGAAACGTGTGCTCCTTTCTTTCAGCTCAGACGTCAAACTGATAATGACGTGGAACTCAAAGGAGGATCCGTTCTCTCTCTCACTCTCTCTCTCGCCTTTCACACACTTCAGAAGCATAGCGATGCTATATACTTATTCCATGCTCATGCCACTTCACTTCGCGGCCTAATTCCCCACATCCAAAGTGGGGTTCTTGTTTTCTCTGCGCACCCCCCGCGCAGGAACCTCACGCCTCACCCCCTCTCCTCTTCTCCCGTCGCTCACTCCCTCATTCACTCAATCACTCACACCGTCATCATCAGTCCCACACGCACACACGCACACACTCACTCACAGTCAATCATCACTCATTCGTCATCACACAGACACGCACCATCATCACTCACACTCACCCACTCACCCATTCACGCACACTATCATCACCATCGTCGTCATCACTCGCACACTCACTCAGTTATTCACTCATCATCATCACTCACTCACTCGCCCACTCACTCACTCACCCACCTACCCACTCTAGCGGGAGCCTCGTCTGTGAATGAATTGCGAGGAAATCTCAGGCGGAAGTCCCCTCCCTATGGGGCCCGCACTTCATGTTGGTTATCCGAGCGGGTCATCGGCCTCCTGCAAGTGTCGTCACTTTTGGGCTCCTCAGGCTTGGGTTTGGAAGAAGTCTCTGGCGGGAGCCTCGTCAGTGACTGAATTGTGAGGAAGTCTCAGGCGGGAGCCCCTTCCCTACGGGGCCCGCGATTCATGTTGGTTATCCGAGCGGGTTTTCGGCCTCGTGCAACTGTCGTCACTTTTGGGCTCCGCGGGCATGGATTTGGAGGAATTCCCAGGCGGGAACCTCGTCTGTGAGTGAATTGTGAGGAAGTCTCAGGCGGGACCCCCCTCCCTACGGGGCCCGCGCTTCATGTTGGTTATCCGAACGGGTCTTCGGCGTCCTGCAACTGTCGTCACTTTTGGGCTGCTCAAGCTCGAATCTGGAGGAAGTCTCGGGCGGGAGCCCCCTCCCTACGGGGCCCGCACTTCATGTTGGTTATCCGAGCGGGTTATTGGCCTCCTGCAGCTGTCGTCACTTTTGGGCTCCTTAGGCCTGGATTTGGAAGAAGTCTCGTGCGGGAGCCTCGTCGGTGAGTGACTTGTGAAGAAGTCTCAGGCGGGAGCCCCCTCCCTACGGGGCCCGCACTTCATGTTGGCAATCCGAGCGGGTCATCGGCCTCCTGCAATTGTCGTCAATTTTGGGCTCCGCAAGCATGGATTTGGAGGAGTTTTTGGCGGGAGCCTCGTCTGTGAGTGACTTGTGAGGAAATCTCAAGCGGGAGCCCCTTCCCTACGGGGCCCGCGATTCGTGTTGGTAATCCGAGCGGGTCATCGGCCTCCTGCAAGTGTCGTCACTTCTGGGCTCCTCAGGCATGAATCAGGATGAGTTCTCGGGCGGGAGCCTCGTCTGTGAGTGAATTGCGAGGAAGTCTCAGGCGGGAGCCCCCTCCCTATGGGGCCCGCACTTCATGTTGGTAATCCGAGCGGGTTGTCGGCCTCCTGCAACTGTCCTGCAACTGTCGTCACTTTTGGGCTCCGCAGGCCTGGATTCTGAGGAAGTCTCAGGCGGGAGCTTCGTCTGTGAGTGCTTTGTGAGGGCGTCACAGGCGGGGCCCTCCCCATGTGGCCCGCACCTCATGTGCTTTCTCTGGGTCGTCCTCTGGCGCGTGCTCTCTCTGGGTCGTCCTCTGGCGCGTAGCCGCTGGGACGCACGTCGTGCGTCTCCTCTATGTCGTGTTCCGCACGAGGAAGAGGATGAGAATGAGGATGAGGAGGATGAGGAGGATGAGGAGGATGAGGGGGATGAGGAGGAGGAGGAGGAGGATGAGGAGGAGGATGAGGAGGAGGAGGAGGAGGAGGAGGAGGAGGAGGGAGGAGGAGGAGGAGGGGCAGGATGCAGGACGAGAAAGAGAAGGAGGAAGAGGAGGAGGAGGCAGAGGGGAGACAGGACGATGAGGAGGAGGAGGGGGAGGAGGAGGAGGAGGAGGAGGAGGAGGAGGAGGAGGAGGAGGAGGAGGAGGAGGAGGAGGAGGGAGGAGGGGGGGGATGAGGAGGAGCCGGAGGAATGCCCTAGGAGGCCCCAGGAGGTCCTGGGAGGCCCAGAAGGCTCCAGGAGGCCCCAGGGTCTGATTACTAGAGCTCGTCCTCTAGATCGTTCACGCTGGTGACGACGAGGAGGAGCAAGAGAAAGTATGTGTCGATGTCAATTATCGTGATAATTGTCCGTGAACACCTTTTGTCCACAATATGAACGGCCGCGCTGTAGTGTGCGCGGTCTGCCTGGCACGGCCAGGCTCTGTCAGAAAGAGTCCCGCCCTCCCTCGCCTTGAGCCGAGGGTGGCGGCGAAACGGACAGGGCAGACGGGCAGGAGGCAGCTGCTGCTCAAGCTTACTCCTGCGTAGCATTCAGACAGGGGGAAAAAGGTTCTGCCCTGTACCGTGCGCGCAGGCAATCTCTGCGCTCCTTGTGTGCTGCTGGACGAACTTCTGATGGGTCTCGATCTCCTGCTGCAACTTCTGGATCATGATCAGGGATTCGGAGGCCGAGAACCCAGTAGAGGTCGTCGAGCCGGAAGGGTTCCCTTCCATGCTGGCTGGTGGTTGTGCCCGGCGGGCCAACCTACGCTCCTCGAGTACCTGACGAGCTGAGGCCGGGTCGGTCGGGTCCGTCTCGTCGAAGATGCCCTTGCCAAGAGCTGCCCGCTTGCGAGCGCTCATGAACTGCTCGTCGTATATGAGGCGCCACTGCTGCTTCTCGAGGAAGGCCCGAACCACTCCGAATGCCTGCCAGCTTGCCTTGGTTAGACCGTCGGCGATCTGTGCGTGTGAGTGAACCCAGCGCACGACCGTTTGACCCTCGTCCAAGGCATTGCGGAGAGCCAAAGCCTCGATGGCTGTCCTCCGCTCTTCCAGTCCCAGTCCCGCCGACTGAGATCGCACCACGCCGTCGTAGAAGGCCTTGCAGTCCGTCACCAGGATGGCTGGTAATCGTCGTAGTGCTGCTGCGGTATCTTGCAGTGGAGACATATGGTGTAGAAGTTCGGCAAGTACCAATCGCACCATGCTCTGCTCGCCTTCGGCGTCGCCGGCTTCCTGCACCTCCGCCGCCAGGCTAGACCGAGCCACGCGGCGCAGCTTCTTGGAGCCCCAGTCGAGGACCGTGAACTCGGAGAGCTTCCCGTCCATGGCCGCCTTGGAGGAGATAGCGGTGATATGACCACCCTGGGAGTGTCCATCCGGGCGGCTGGCCCAGGCTGCGTCGCACCAGGTGAAGATGGCGAGGTCGTCCAGGGCGTGCCGGTAGATCCTGATCCCCATGTGGCGGCTCTGCTTGACGAGCTTGACAATGTTGTTAGCGGCCGTGAAGAGGTTGTGAGTACCTGCTGGTATCTTCATCTGGAGGTCGGCTACCCACGATAGGAGAAATGGCATGGTATTCACGCCAAGCCAGTAGATCTCGCCGCAGAACGCCCTGAGCACCGTCTTGTCAGAGTCCTTGAGGCTGTCGGTGGTCCGATGCTTACTGCCGCTGGCCGCCTTGACCTCCTTGATCTTGTCGATATACGACTTCTGGTGGAGGAAGAAGCCCTGCTCGCTCTCCTCGATGGTGACGCCGCACTGTTCGAGAGAGGTGAGCCCGTCATTCATGTCCTCCCAGGTGCCCCACTTGTAGAGCCCTCGGATCTGCTTGACCATGTCCTGCCACTCAGGGTGGGAGGTATCTCCTGCCATGATGAAGTCGTCGACGTGGGCCATGATCATACCAATGAGCCTGCCCGTCCTGGAACATCGTGCTTTCCAGAGGCAGGGCTCCAACTCGCAGGCTTGAAGTCGAAGTTTCGCAAAGTCGTGCTTGACCGTCTCCCACCAGTGCCGGGGCGCCTCGCCGATCCCATATCCAGGTTTCACGACCTGGAGGATTTCCCCTTCCTGCACGCGGAAGGCCTTTCTGAGGACGGCGTCTGGCTCGATGAAGAGGTCCTTGTCGAGGTCGTGGGCCTGCAGAAAGGCGGAGGTGACGTCGCCCTTGATGAGCTTCCAGCGGTTCGCGGCGGCCACTGTTAGCATCACGTGACGGGCGCGCCGAGACGCGGTGGGGCTGGCTGTCGGCTCCTGTCCTAGGTCCTTCGTCTGGTAGCCGAGGAGGACGAGCCGGGCCTTCGCCTTCCCATCGGACTTGCGGGTGAAGAGCCACCTTGCCCGGATGACGTCCGCCGCGTCCTTGACCCGAGATATCGGGACAGCGCGGAGTCCCTGATGCTGGATCCAGTTGTTCGTCTCCTTGGCGATGGCTGCCTCGAACTCCTCACGCTCGGTGGCGTTCATCTTGGACCAGGTCAGCTCCACCTTGTCCTTCCGGCGCTGGTTGACGACGAAGCTGTCCAGGATGTGGCTCATCAAACCTCGGCGTCCGTCTGGAGTGGTATTCTCGTCCTGCAAGTACTCGAAGTAGACGGTCTGCTGTTCGTCGATGCCGAGGGTGATGTCCAACTTGTCCTTGAAGAGGTTGACCAGGTGGTTGCTGTCGAACAGCGCGTCGGCCATCTCCTCGTCTGCGCCTCTCTGTCGCTTCTCCGGCGGTGCGTGCAGATCGAGCTCTGGTCCGCGGTGTGTCATGCGCCATCTAGGTCTCGACTCGCCTCGGGATGCGGCACCGGCCGCCGATGAGGTCGAGGTCGCGGGAGGCGGACGCGATGCTGTTCGAGACTCCGTCCTGACTGCCGCTGAGGTAGATGCTTTCCCTGGCGTTCGCGATGGGGCTGCTGACCGGTCAGCTGCACGAGCCGGTGGTGACCGGGACCGTCGGACATCTGGTTCACTCGGTTCCACTTCAGGTTGCGTCGCTGAGCTTGGTGTTGGTGGCCTGGAGGAATCAGGATCGCCGGGTGTGTCGTTGTCGGCGCCTGATGGGAGTCCCGCCTCGCTGTTGTTCTCGAGAGTCTGGCCCTCGGTCGCGGGGATCGCCATCGTCGGCTGCGGTGGAGGCTCGTAGTCTCGGAGGTCTGGAGGATTTTGTCCGAGAAGGTCTTCATAGGTACCGCCCTTGGCTGTCTCCAAGATCTCCGTCATGGTCTTGCCAAGGTTGCTCTGCCGCTGCAATTCGACGATCATCTTCTCTGCCTCCGAGGCGACGCGCAGCTGCTCCGGGGCGCACCTGATGAGCACGCTCCCGTGGGAGATCCAGATGACCGAGGTAGGACGGGTGCGCCCGTCCACGTGTCGTTTTTCCTGAGCAAGGACACGAGCAGGGCCGTACCACCCGCCCTTCTTCCCAGGGCGAGGGTCCAGGCCTTTCCCTTTACGCCAGAAGTAGACGAGGTCCCCCGGATTCCAGGTCTGATAGACCCGGTTGCGAGCCTGCTCGGCGTGTCGACGACGCTCAGCATACTCTACTTCCAGGAAGCTTTTGCGCGCGAGGAGGCGCCTCTGCTCCTGAGTCTCCCCGGTGTCCCCGTCAATGATGGCGAACGGGTTGCTCGAGGCCGGCATCCCAGAGACGCCCATCACGTGCTCGAGCGGGGAGTGGTTGCCGACCTTGTCCATGCTGTTGATCGCGCTCACGGCCCAGGACACCAACTCCTCGACCGGGCAGTCGGGGTCCAGCGTTGCCAGCTTCGTCATCAGTCGCTTGAAAAGCTGGATGCGCCTCTCGACCTTGCCCATCAGCCAGTGGGCCTCGCCCGGGGCAATCCACAGCTCGATGCCGCGGTCCGAACACCACCTGGCCACTGCTTGTGAACGATGACATCCTTCGGGGTCCAGACGGAGAAGGCTGGGGCGGCGGTAATGTCCGCACCAGTCATTCCATGTTGAAATCACCTCCTGAGTCGATCTGTTGCCATTGCGCTCTCCCTTCTGTCCATGATAGGTGACACTGGTGAGCCCGGATCCCTCGTCGATGTTCAACGTCATCAGGAAAGAGTCCTGCTTCGGCGAGAGCCACTCGAGCCCGTCGGAGGCCAGCACCTCTAGGACGCCTGGCAACTCGATGCCCGAGGCGACCCTGACGGCTTTTGGTAATTGTCCCGCATGGCATGCGTGACACTGGAGGCGAAGAGCTGCTCGTAGGACCTGGAGAGGTGCTCCCGATGCCTTGAGGATCTTGTACAGTGTCTTGTTGCTCGGGTGGCCGAGGTTGCGGTGGAGCCGCGTCAGCCGTTGCTCGATCTCCAGCTCCTCCTTCTTGGTCGGTGTCTCGGAGATGCCCAGGCCCTTCATGACCGACTCGTCGTCCATGGCCTCGGGGTTATCCTGCAAGAGGTCCTCGTCGAGGGCCTCCTCCATCTCCTCTTCAGCGTCCTCTGGGATCTGTTCCAAGCTGGTGAAGATCTCCTTGCCGTACCTCGCGCTGGTGTTCGTCTTCAGGATATGCTTTGCCCAAGCCTTACACAGTGCTGGTGGGTAAAAGGCCGTCTGGGCCACCACCTGTCCGTCCTCGATGGGGCGGTGTGTGTGGTTGTCGCCCCTGCCGGGGCGGTTGGAGCACGTCCTGCCGAGCTTAGCGCCGAACTCCGGGTCTGTCGAGCATATGCGCCATGCCTTCCTCATCAGCAGGCCGGAACGAGCTTCGCGAAGTCCATGCGCACAGCCATGGATGATCGTCTCGTGCATCTGGTCGCGCATCGCCTTGATCGAGGGCGACCTGGTCCAGCTTCGGCTGGAAGCTGGCTGTTCGAGCTCGGTGTGGCAGTCGTGAATCTTCTTCGAGTCTTCCCAGAGGCTCTTGCAGTTCCGCTGGATACGTCGGGCCTTGCGCACCTTCGCCAGATACGTGGCCTTCTGCTGAGCTGTCTTCTGGTTGAGATTCTGGATCGGGCAGTCTGCTGTACATGGCGGGCTGAGAACCAAGCGGCGCGGTCGGAGTCGTCGGAGAAGGTGAAGCGCGCGTCGAAGCCCGGTTGCCGTTCCCATGTCGATCCCATTGAAGAGGCCGCACCTGAACACTTTGCCTCCCTGGTCCCGCACGGCCTTGCTGAGGCTCGAGTCCTCCGGACAGCACACCTCCATCAGGTCGATGCGGTAGGGCCTGCCGAGCTCCGTCAGGTCCTCGGCGATGGTCTGGTAGATCTCGTCCAGGACCTTGTCGTGGCTCTCGTAGAACATCTTGAGATCCTGGTCGTCGAGCTGCTTCAGCGTTTCCTCTTCGAGTCCATCTCCGGCAGTTCCGAGTCGTCGAGCATCTCCGGAGTGAACTTCCAGCCCCCCTGTATCTCCGGGGAGTTCAGCTTGTTGGACAGGCGCCGCCAGCGTAGAGCCACTGCCTGCTCCCGGATGGTCACCTCCGTCGCCTTCGTGCACGTGTGGCTCTTGCCTCCGCGGCAGCTGCACCCCCGAATCGTCTTCCCGAGGGTCCCGCAGCAGGAACACGCGGACTTCGGAGGTCTCGTCACTGGCTGAGCCCCCGCTGGACTCGAGGGGGCGCTGCTGGCTGTCGCTGCTGATGCCTCTGCTGGTGTCCCGGGTGCTCCCTGCTGTGGGGTCTTGAGGCACTGGTGGCTCTTGCCCCCGAAGCAGCTGCACCCGCGCTTGGTCTTCCCCAGAGCTCCGCAGCAGCCGCACTTCCCCACTGGGTTGTACCACTTCGCTGGTAGCTCCGGAGTAGCTGGTGTTGCTGTTGATGTTGGCGTCGGGGTCGCTGGAGCCGAAGTTGTCGATCCCCTCGTGCGAGGGCGGCTCCACTCGGGGCGGGCCGCAGGCACAGGTGGCGGCCGTTGCTCCGAGGATTGCCCAGCCAAAGAACCGTCGCTGCATGTCATCCAAGCGGCCAGTGGCGGCCTGGGAAGAATATGGAGGTCGTGAAAGACTGCTGGTTGAGGCTATTGCCGAGTTGATGAACTGAGCCGAAGGTGGCTGCGAACAGCATGATGATGAACACCGATGGTATTGTGCTGGCTCATCGCTCTGCTTTTCCATAATCTGATCCTGAGGCTTGCTTGCTAACGGTCCTCTTGACTGTGATGATGTCCCGATCGACGGTGATGATGAAGAGAGCCGGTCGGATGACCTGACCGTCCGTCCGAACGAAATCGAGGTTTCCGTCGCTCGAGCCGATCCGCTCCGTGTCGCAGTTTCCGTCGCTCTGGTAGGTGTCCGCGCCGCCGAGGTTTCCGTCGCTCTGGTAGGTGTTTCGAACTCGCGGTGACCGAGTCGGTGTGGCCCCCCCGATGATGAGGTTGACAATCGAGATAAATTCCCTTCTGCTGCCATCATCAGGGGGCGCTGTCCCTAGCGTACCGCAGGGCAGCAGCTGCACGGAGCGGCCTCTTCGGGCAGCTCCTCCAGCAGAACATCGGGCGCCGTCGCTTAGGACGTCAGGCATCGGCAAGGAAAGCGGCACCTCCTTCCACCACTGCGGCGTCGTCAGGTTGACGGCCAGATGGTTGCTCGAGAGGCGCTCGCAGTAGAACACCTTGTTGCCCATGGTCGGAAGGCCGATCCAGTTCCGGCCGCAGTCGACCACAACCTTCAGCGAAACAGTCAGAATGTCCATGCCCAGGAGGATCGGCACGCGGTTCGGCATCACCGACAGCTTGACCTCGGTCAGGTCGCCGCCGAGGAACACGTTCCCCTTCACCGTGCCCATCGAGCTCTTCTGGAGGCCGTCGCCGAAGGTGAAGGAGCACTCGTCATGTGTCGTCTCGAACTCCTGGCCGTGCTGGTCCAGCATCTCGTACATGAGGTTCTCGACGCTCTCGAGGCCGCCGAGGCTCTTCGTGGCCCCGATGTCGAGGATCGCCCAGATGCCGTCGCGCTCCAGGAGGTAGAGGTACTCGTCGAGGGCGGACAGGACGAAGCCGTTGTGAGTAGTCCCACGAGCTCCATCTCTCGTATTATCTTTCTTGAACCTCTCGTTGCAGTCCGCCGCTCGATGACCATATTCGCCGCACGCGATGCACTTCATCTTGGACATGTCACGTCCCTTGCCCGTGTCGAAGCGAGCGCGGCCTCGACCGTTCTTGCCGCGGCCACGCTGGAAGCCTCGTCCCGTGTTCGGAGGCGGGGGCACGCGATCGGGGTCCTTGAGCGACACGACCGGGTAGTAGTCGCGGGACACTCGAAGGCGTCGGATCAGGTCGCGAGCGTCCTTGAAGCTCCTGCCCACCTGCTTGAACTCTGCGAACACCTCGTTGTCCGCTGGGTTGTCGTCAGCTGGCTCCTCATATTCGTCTTCTTCAGCGAGGGTGATCAGCTGCTCGACAACCTCTGTGAAATCAATATCTTCCCCACCAGTCTCGTCCTCAACGTCGTCGACGGGCGTGTCCTCATAGAAGGCCCTCCGGTGCTGCTTGCCGTCGAGCTCCGCCAGCGCCTCCGCCGGGAAGCGCGTGAGCAAGGCCTTGTATGTCTTACCAAAGTTGAGGTCGCCACCTGCAGTGGCGGCGATCTCTCCACGTTGAACAGGGGACAGCTTGGACTTCCGAAGGAACCGCCATGTCCGAAGAGGCTTCGCAATCACTTCCGTCACGCTGGAATCGATGACTTGGAGCTGCACCAACAGCTCGCGCCCCTTCTTCTCGAATCTGGCGGCCCAGTCCTGGAAGGTCTCGCCCGAGTTCCTGCTGACCTTCAGGAAAAACTCCTCCGCGAGGAGGCCCGTGTCATTCAGGCTGGTGAAGTCCAGCTTCTCCAATACGTACTGAAACACTTTGTTCCAACCAATCAAAACTCCATCCTTGTCGATCTCGTCGACCGTGTCGATGTCCGGGCAGCTCTCCACCGTCGTCCGGACTCGCGCCCCGAGGGCGCGCACCAGCTGCGGGCCACACACGTAGCGCTCCGCAGTCTTGATGCTCTTGGTGAACATGGAGACCTCAAACTTGTAGCTCGTCAATTTGTCTGCCTCGCCGTTCCATGAGGGGACGTCGACGCGCGTCGTCGGTGGCCCGCTGGCGGCTGTAGTCGCCATTCAGGCCGAGACCGGTGGGAGCCCGTGGTTGTCGGAGACCACAGGCTCCGCTACCAATCTGATTACTAGAGCTCGTCCTCTAGATCGTTCACGCTGGTGACGACGAGGAGGAGCAAGAGAAAGTATGTGTCGATGTCAATTATCGTGATAATTGTCCGTGAACACCTTTTGTCCACAATATGAACGGCCGCGCTGTAGTGTGCGCGGTCTGCCTGGCACGGCCAGGCTCTGTCAGAAAGAGCCCCGCCCTCCCTCGCCTTGAGCCGAGGGTGGCGGCGAAACGGACAGGGCAGACGGGCAGGAAGCAGCTGCTGCTCAAGCTTACTCCTGCGTAGCATTCAGACAGGGGGCCCCATGAGGAGGCAGGAGGCCTAAGGAGGGGGCAGGAGGAGGAGGAAGAGAAGGAGGAGGAGGGGGAGGAAGAGGAGGAGGAGGAGGAGGAGGAGGAGGAGGAGGAGGAGGAGGAGGAGGAGGAGGAGGAGGAGGAGGAGGGGGAGGAGGGGAGGAAGATGGAGACGAGGGGAGGAGGCGGAGGAGGGGGAGGCAGAGGAGGGGGGGGGGGGAGGGGGGGGAGGAGAAGGAGGAGGAGAAGAGGAGGAGGAGGAGGAGGAATAAGAGGATACTGAGGATGAGGAGGAGGTGGAGGAGGAGGAGGAGAGGAGGAGGAGGAGGAGGGAGAGGCAGAGGAGGGGGAGGGAGAGGGGAGGAGGAGGAGGAGGAGGAAGAGGAGGGGGAGCAGGAGGAGGAGGAGGAGGAGGAGGAGGAAAAAGAGGAGCGAACGTCGCCTGAGGGGGCGAGTCCGTCGGAAGGCCGAACTACGGCGCGCCGGCTCCGCCCGAAAGGTCGGCGGGCAGCTTCAGAGCGTGGCGGGCGGCAGCAACGGCGGTCGCTTGCTTCTGGTACGTCATCGGCAGGACATCGTCCTTGGTGAAGTGGTAGACGCGCGTCGCGACGCTGAGCCTTGCAGCGCTGTTGGGGATGCCGTTCTCGCCGTCGAAAGGGGTCGTTGAGCTTGGGAAGTCCAAGCCTCGTCAGCAAATGAGCGCTCAATTGGCCTCGGGGTTTGGCCAGCTGGTGCCGCATGCGGCCGCAGATGACGTAGTGCTGGATGGCGTCTTGGCCGTCGGGGAGGGGGCGCCCGATGTGGCAGGAGCGCTTTTTTGGGATCACGTGCATCCTGTGCGAGGTTGTCCATGCTCCCGCAAGCACCTTCAGCGCGCCCCACAACTTGGCAGGCGGAAGGGTCGCCAAGTGGGAGCGGAGGCGCATCCAACGCGCAGGTAGATCATCAGGGGCTTTTTCAGCATGTAGAAGGTCTGGTTGAGCGCCGGGGCTTTCAGGAAGGACTTCGTCTTCAATGTCATCATCGTCGCGGTGGAGGTCCTCGGGGTTGGGGTCGGGCTCGATGAGGGGAAGGATGTGGCTGATCCAGCGGCGACGGGCGCGATGTTGGGCGGCTTCATATGTGAGTAATGATGAGCGAGGGGATCGACTGCGAAGAGAATCGCGGGGTTGGCCATTGTGTGCAAGACGGCGCTCGAGTAGGAGTCGTCCCATGCCGCTGTTTTCCCGCGACTGTATGCACATGTTGACTGCGATGCGGTGGCGCTGTATGTTCGTGGCGCGCAGCGGCAGGATCAGGTCGGTGCCGAGGAGCTCGTGCAGATATGTGGTACACCACTGCATCCAATCGTCACGGTTGTTGATGCTGGGGTCGTTTAGCAGGATGTTGGGGAGCCAGTGGGCGGCCCAAGCACGGGCGCGGTTCATCAGTCGGTCTTGCGCTCGTTCAGCTTCACGTCGGGGTCCGTCAGGTGGTTCGCGCGTGTGCTGTCGGTTTGAGTCAAGGTGTGGAAACCAAGCGATCAGTCGGCGCTTGATCGTGTTGGGCATGGTGTCTACGTGCAGCTGTTCGTTGAGGGACTTCAGGTAGGCTGACTGCGGGGTGATCTTGGCGGGCTGGCGGTGTCGGCGCAGAGCGGGATGAGGGGCAGGCTGGAGGACTTGGCGTTGGAGAAGGGCCTGTAGCCCTGCTCTGGCAGCGCGCTTGTGGCAGGCGATCATGGCGGCACGTGCGCGCGGTCGTGGTCCAGCTGCGCGTGTGAGCCGCTTGAGGTGAGATCCTTTGACGTCCGTGAAGAAAGTGCCGTTGGTGGCGCCTTCGAGGCGTTGGACCATGGCGGTCTTGATCTTCCAGCCCTCGTTGCACCAGACTCCTTGCGTGGCGGTGACGAGGGGGAGTTGGTCATAGGCTGTGTCGCATAGTAATCGGTGGGTAAGTTGCCAGCCTGTGACCGTGGTGGTCGCCGTGCGCCAGAGGGTGGCGGATAGGTAGTTCCCAGTGCCGATCGGAACTTCCACGTTTGTCCAGAGCGTCATCGCTAGAACATCGGACTTCGCGAAGCTGGACGGTGCGACTCGCAGCAACTTGTTGATGGCCTGCAGCTCCTTCTGCAGGGTACCTTCAGGGGGCTCGAAGAGCTGGCCGATGTGCCCCAGGCAGGTGACGGCGGCGACGTTGTAAAGCTTGATGCATTGTTGTAGCGGTGCATGCGAGGCTGCGAGCTTCTCAACGCGGCCCCACCACTTGACAGAGGGCCCGCGCCACTGGTCCTCAAGCGTCGCACCTGGGCCGACAAAAAAAGCCGAGGTAACGTGCCATGGGCTCGACCTTGAAGTTGGACCACGGGGCGTGGGCGTTCGCGAGGGTGTGGCGCATCTCGGCGATGATGTCTTGTGTGGGGGGCGCCCAAGTAGGGGCGACGATGCATTTCTTTGCTTGAAGTCGGAGGCCTGCAAGTACTTCGGCAGCGACCATGTGCGGGGCGAGCAGGGGGATGTCGGACAGTCTGGCTAGGATGATGCCGAGGTCATCGGCGCAGGCGCTGACAAGCCCGCGCTGTGTCTCGCGGAGCTCGCGGCTGAGGGCGATAATGATGGGGTCGAAGACGAGTGCCCAGATGGCGCCGCTCAGAGGGCAGCCTTATGCGACGCCCGATGCTGCAATCAGCAGGGGACGACGTTCTCCTCCCAGGTCAAGGAACGAGACGGGCCAGAAGTAGCAGGCCTTGAGCAGGCGCAGCATGTGGCCGTGGATGCCCCAGCGCTCGATGACGTTCCACAGCCACTGGTGGCCAAGGCTGGGGAATGCGGCTGCGATGTCCATGCTGACGAAAACTTGCATGTCAGTTGATGCAGTGGGGGATAGGCTGTGTCTGCGCGCAGCTGCGTCCACGGCGACTACATTGTTCAGGAACTGGCGGCCTGATACGAAGCCCTGTTGCTCAGGCGAGGTCAGGGCGGCGAGGGGGTGAAGCTGGCGGTTGGCGGCGGGCGCTAGCAACTTCACGTCGGTGTTCTTCATAAAGAGCGGCCGTGAGCACTCTGGGGCACGCGTGCACTCTGCGTTGCGCGCAGGTTCGTCACCTTTCGGCAACATGGCCATGAAAGAAAAGTTGAGGTCGTGCGGGATGTTATTGTTGGCGGCTATGTCAAGGCCGACGTCGGCCAGGATGTCGAAGCTGTCGGGGGTGCGAAGCCAGGCGCGGTAGGGTAGTCCGTCTGGGCCTGGTGCAGAGTCACCTGCAAGGCGGGCGGCCTTCTTAAGATCCTGAGCGTCAGGGATGGGAAAGACAGCTCGTGGGCGTCGAGGGAAAACCGAGCCGAGGTAGTTCGTGAGCAGGGTTTCGTCAACATGCTTCTCGGCGAACACGGGTGCCTAGTGACGCATGATGGCCTGGTGCATGGTGGCGGGATCGGTGGCGATGTTCGACGGGTTGCCGGTGGTGATCTTGATGCCTGTGAGCACGAGGCGCTTGGCGAAGGGCTTCCATAGTTCGCCTCGGTAGCCTTCTCGCTTGACGCGCTGGCGCCACTTCTGGCCGAGTGGGACGTTGTTGGCTGCGAAGGCGGCGCGAGACCGAGCAGATGCGATGGCTTTGCGTTCGTTGCTGAGGCTGGCGTGCGTGATGTCTGCGGCCCTGGTGAACGTCGGCATGTCGTTGGCGCTGACAATGTTTCCAATGACCTTCAGGCGAAGGCGTCCGATGTCGGTGTGCTCGATAAACGAGTTAGCGAGCGGGGCGTTCTGATACCATATAGCCCGTGCGATGCTGCGAAGAGTCATGGCGCGGGTCTCCTTGGATACGAGTCCAGGCTGTGATGTCAGCTCGTCGGCGGGGAGCTTGGTCAGCGTGTCGCGGGCGTGGGCGGCAGCGACCTGCGTCGCAGCCTTGAGCGAGCGCCACTTTGCAATCGGGGTCATGTTGGTCATGTCTATGTTGGCAAGAGTCTTGGTGATGTGATGCTTATAGTGTGGAGTGTCAAATATGTACGCGGGGATGCCTCGCTCCGTGGCGACCTTGGGCTTGCGGAGGCGGATGCGGACGTGCATGATCTTGTGGTCACTTATCGGGCCGCGGGGGTTCTCGAGCGGGGAGTCGTCGGCTATGTAGATGGTCTCCATGAGGGGCATGAGATGGCTGGGGAGGTCGATGGAGCGTCGGTCGATGGTGGATTCGCTCATGTTCCCTTCAGCTCTGTGGGTAGTTGAGGGGGAGGTGATCTCGATCATGTCGCGGAAGAGTGATCGCCATAATACAGGTTGGCATTGGTACCTCTGCGCGGCGGTGGTGTCAGAGTCGACGGGGGCATTTAGCGACTTCGGTGGGAATTCGGCCACGTTGAAATCGCCCGCGACCATGAAGAGGCGATGTTGTGGTTGTTCGTCGGCATGTTGTCGGAGTGCTTGCCACTGGTCTCGAAGATAAAGTCGACCCGCTGCGGTGAGGCCGTAGTTGTGGATGTTGATGACGGTGACTTCGAACTGGAGGCTGGCGTCCGTGACCCGAAGCCAGGCGGCGCGGCCATGGATGGCGACCTCGAACCTGATGCGAGGACGTAGCGCAGGGGGGAGTATTTGTTCGCCTTTGTCATGCGGGACGAGGAAGCCCACGCCGCCTGCACTGGTGACGGGGATGTTGTCGGCCATCACGGGGGAGTGGAACGGCTTGTACGGGTGCTGGGTCGAGTTGGCCATGGGGGAAAGGTCGTCGATCGTGCCGTGCGTTTCCTGGAGGGCGATTAGTGCTCTTTGACGAAGATCTGGCAGGATCAGGCGGCGTTTGTCTTCACGGCGTTGGTCTGGTTGTCCGAGTAGAGCTTGCGTGTTCCAGAATGCCACGTTGGGGCCCTCCTGCGAGGGCTTGAGGAGCCATGGGCTCCAGCGATGGCTAAAGCCACTGCGCGGCTGTGAGGGCGTCTGCGAAGTTGGAGGCGAACTCTGCGTTGATCGGCCGCTGCCTGGCTTCGTCAAAGCCGCAAGTGATGGCGGCACTGGACCGCTGAATGCGGGTAGGAGCGTCAGCGTTGGCTCCGACGAGCAGGCGGGCCAAAGCTTCACCACGGTGGCTAACATAACCAAGAGTCCGATGCGTGCGAATGTCAGAGTCGGGCACGGCATTCTGCATGATCTTTGATAACCGCTTGATCTGTACTTCTGTTCGCACGGCTTTCCGACTTTTGTCGGCGGAGACATAGAGAGGAGCAAGGAGACCATTGCTCCGAAGTATACTGAAAGTGCGCCATTCCTTTCCATTGCGGAGAGCTCCGTGGAGTCCTTGAGCTCGGGGTTCGGCAACGACGGTTCCTCCGCTGACCTGGAACGAGTGGCGCTTGGCGGGGCCGACGGTGTTGAAGATGATGTGGCTCTTGTCAATGCCAGCGGCGGTGAACCAGTCGGCAAGGCTCTTCTCGAGCTCGGGTTGGTTGAACTCCTGCGGGCTGCTGCGCCAGAATGTCGTTGGGTCGGGATCGCGGTCCCGCGCGCCAATGCCGTCCAAGTTGAGGGCAGGCGCACGTGCTTCTGCAGCTGTGACGATGGCGTTGAGTCTGGCGACGGCGGCTTTGAGGTCGACGTTCTCTTTCTCCAGGGAGGTGGTGCGCTGCTTGACTTCGGTGATGTTGCGTTCCGTGGCCTCGTGTCGCTGGCTGAGGTCGGCTGTGATCTTCGTGATGCTGTCGAGGAAGTCTTGACTAGCTTTGGCTGTGGCGGCTCGAGCGGTGGCTTCGAACTTGGCGCTGGCGTCGGCAATCTGGGCGGCCATGGTCTCCTCCAGCTGCTTGCGGACGTGGGCGGGCAGGTCGTGCACGGCGAGTTTGTTGCCGAGAAGTGCAGCTCCTTCGTGCCATGGGTCTTGTTGGCGTTTGCCGTCCACGTCTCCGTGGGCACCTTCGACGGCAACAGGTGCTGGTACGCCTTTGCCTCCCATGCTAGCTGCCTGCGAGACATGAGGCCCGCGCCAGCCACTGTCGATCGCGCGTGGGGCAGCAGCTGGCGACAACTGTGCCGAACATGAAGTTCGACCACCTGGGCAGGTGGAAGGCGGGGTTATGAAAGCGGGTCCTGAGCTGTCCCTGGACCAAGGGTCTCCGTGCTCTGCCACGGGGCGGACACATCTTGAACCAACATGGCTACGGAGGAGGAAAAAGAGGTGGAGGAGGAGGAGAATGAGGATGAGGATGAGGAGGAACAGGAGGAGGAGGAGGAGGATGAGGAGGAGGAAGAGGAGGAGGAGGAGGAGGAGGAGGGAGAGGGAGAGCGAAAAGCACGAGGAAGGAAAGGAGGAGGAGGTGGTGGAGGAGGCAAGAGGAGGAGGCAGGGGTTGAGGCAGGAGGAGGAGCAGGCAGGAGGAGAAGGAGGAGGCAGGAATAGGTGGGAGAAGGGAGGAGGAAGGAGGAGATCCCCAGGCAAGTTAAACATATTATCATGCGGGGTCCTATCGTCGGAGTAATTATACGATTTCAATTCTACACAACTGAAGTTGCGCTGCGTATGGGCGCGATGACTACCATTACAACATCGGGGGGAAGCTTACCGACACAATAACACCACGGGGCAACAGCTACTCAGCTAGAGACCCTGAATGAACTGTCAAGCTGTTTCATTGACATTATCGGGAAGAGCTAAGCGGAACACGTCGTTGTATAGCACCCCGACGATCGGAGCAACATGTGTCCGGCTGGCCTCTGCTTTCATGTGAAGAGGCAACACGTTCAAGGCACTGGAACACATCAGAAGATTTGATGCCTCCTCGTCAAACGCCATGCAAGTAAGACTATCTTCTGGCCTGTATTCAGTCTTATCCGTGAAGGTCTGGATGCAACGATAATTCCTGATATCCCACACTTTGACGACCTTGTCGATGGACATGGAGATCAGCTGTGACTGTGCCTCGTTGCAGAGAATCTCTATGACAGGGGCATTATGCCCGATAAGGTGATTCATCGCCTTCTGTGTGAACCCATTCCAGATGACGATCTGCCTGTCCAATCCGGCCGAGGCGAAGAATTTGTGTTTCTTGCACCAGCAGAAGCAGTAGAGCCCCTTCTTGTGCAGGCGGACAGGGGGGCCAGGCTTGTCATCGCCTTCGCGGCCGCTCTTGCGGTTGTTGATGTTGATGTCGCACATGTTGATTTCGCCGTCGAGGCCACAGGTGACCATGGCCTGCAGCTCGGGCACGTATTCAACCTTGGTGACCCAATTCGCCCGCCCCTCTAGGGCCCATCGGCAGGTGAGATCCTCACCCCCCCAACCACTTCCCCAAGAGGGGGACGGCTTGTTCCGCCGACGCTGGATTCGCCCAACTGGTTTCGCTAACCGCCCGGCCCGCCCAATAGGGGCCCGCCTGCCTGACACGCTCATGAGGGCCCCCCCCTGTCGGCAACACCAGCCATGGCGAAGCCTGCCACGCCCTTGGGAGGCTGTCGCCGCCAATCTGGAGGGATGGGGGGGAGGTGCCCAGGGTGGTGCTTGGACTCGGGGGTGGACCAATCCCCGCTTAAACAAAACACCCTTTTGTGAGAACGCCCAGGGAACCAAACCCCGCTGGCGCAGGCCTGCACACATTGCGGCCACAACACCGTCTCGAGAACAGAAGAGGGCAGTTCGCTACTTGACTTGGCAGGTCGAGAACAGAAGAGGGCAGTTCGCTACTTGACTTGGCAGGGTGCGGACTCTATCAACCTCCTATGGGTGGTGCCTTGAACTGTTCCGTTCCGAGCGTCCAATGCATCCACAACGCAAAGACGGCCCCGTATGGCTCCAGACCGTCCTGGAGATCGCGCAGGGAGGTCGACTGTGGCTTGAGATCGCCTCCTGCATGCATCCAAGAGGCTCCAAGACGGCTCGAGATGGCCAGGAGCTCCCTAAGAGTGCCCCCCCCGCCCCCACGGGCAGTATTTGAGGCATCGCTATAAAATGCTCAATGTGTTTTGGATCTACGCCTTCCTTGCATCGGATCGCTTCGAAAGCGTTTCAGAGGGCCCATGGGCGACGCAAACGACCGCAAACGAAGCAATGAGGCCAAGAAAAGCCTCAGACGGCCCCAGAGAACATCCGGAACTGTTCAAAACGCCTCGAAAGCGCCCCAAGACGGCCCGAGAGGGCGCCAGACGGCCTAAGAGAGCCCCCAACTGACCCCCAGACACGCAAAGACGGCCCAAGTGGGCCAGAAGCCCCCAGGAGGCTTCCACAACAGTGCACGCGTCCCGAGAGCGCGCGGCAGGCCCGGGAAGAGAGGCAACCAGGGCACCATGGGTGTCCGAGGATGCGGCGTAAGCCAACGAATCAGTGTGGTACTTCGTGCGTGACTTTATCCCGAGGTAGTTCGCTTTATCCCTGTCTCGATCGGCGGAAGTTGCCACCTGGTCTGGCCTCCTTTCCCGCTTCTCTTTGAAGTAGAGCTCTTCGTTGTTGCTAGCCTGCTCCGTCCAATTATCGTCAAACTGGTATATGGTCACGCAGCCGTTGTTGTCACCCACCATGAGGATCTCCTGGGGCAGAACACTCGATGCAATGAACTGACCCTCCCTCTCAATCCCTCCCTTTCCCGTCTGGGGAATACCTTGTTAGGCCGACTTGAAAACCGTCTCTCCCGGTCGCGCCCGTCGCTCTCGTAGGACCCGCGGTCCAGGTAGCCCATGCATAGAGGGGTGCCCTCTTTGTGCACTATGTGCGCTATGGGCGCTGCACCGAAACTGCTGTCATAGAAAAATATCTTGAAGTTCGCGGACGCCACAGCCAGACGCCTGGACTTCGTCATCCAGCAGCACGACCCAAGCCAACTTCTGCCCTGCTCAACGTCAATGGCTTTGTGGACAGTCAGGTTCGGATGCCAAATCTTGACCATGCCGTCGCGGCCCGCAGTGATGTATCTCCTTCCGCCGCCGCTGGCGCTCTGGCTGTTGTTGGCACCAGCCCCTATGTCCTTCACCACGATGACGCGGCTGATCATGTCGCTGTGACAAGAACCCCAGGCACCTGCGAGCAGAGACCTTCTCTACCCAAACCTTCGACGCACACTTTTTCGCGAGATCGGCATCCATCCCAAACACTTTGTCTCTCGCCGCGGGCAGTTTTTTGATCTCCCAGGGGCCCGGAAGAGACCCCTATCGGACGCCGCGCCTCCGCCGAAAAGCGCACGCAGCGCTATTTTTCCCTCCGCGCCGCAGGAGGTCTGAGGTCACAGAGAGGCAGCAGGAGGAGAGCGCCTGTGACCATGTCCGAGCTCTGGGGGCCCTGCGCGAGTTCCCCGGCGCCGTCCTGGGAGCCTGCGCCCGGCATGTGCAGAAGGTAATAGTTGGTGAACTCCTCTGCGGAGAAAGCGCTCCATACAACACCGTGCCCGGCCAGGGATGTCCTGGGCCCTGGCAAGGTGTACTTATATGCGCTCCTGGCCCACGCCAGGGCGGTCTGTTCACCATCTGATCTGCCTCATAACGCGTGTGAAGACACGCAGAAGCATTTGTTTGGGCCCGATCTTCGCAGGCACTTGCTTGCAGCAACGCGCTTGTTCTTCAATCGGTCAATCACTCTATGAATCCATCCATATATCATATTCCACATAATGTATATATATATATGTGTGTGCGTGTGGCAGGTTTCGGAAACCCTGAACCACAAGTCGCTGTCATCTTCTAGGATGCCGATTCTGACTTCCAGTGGCTTCAGCCGGCCTTCCGCCGGGCTCCGCCCGCGGAGCCGCCCTCGATTTACTTCCGCCGCCTTCCTCCAGAGAAGAGATAGCAATTCCCTCGATCCTCGACGGCGAGGCCCTTTGTGGAAGGCCACATATCGATGTCACTGTCTGTCCATCTATCTCGACTAATTAATGTAGAAATTTGCATACGTTTGTCCCGCTGTCTATTTGTATGCATCCATATATACATAGATTCATATCATGTACCTGTTAGTCTCCATATCTATCGGTCTCCCTACGTTTCGTCCGATCCAACTATCAATCCGTCTGTCGATCTCACCATCTGTCTACTGTCGGGACGACCAGCGGACAACCATTGGGACAACCTTTCTCTGTCTGTCCATCAACCTATCTACCAGTGTACCTATCTGTATAAATATATATATTTACATTGATTTATCCACGAATCTCTCCGCCTATTGTGTCAACCTACATAACTGTCTGTCTAACCACCTGTATCTCTGCATATATGGGTGTTGACACGCACCCATATACATCTACGTATGTATCTTTAGTTTTGTCGCCCAGCAAGGCGCGCTATACATATATATATATATATACATACACATACAAAACATACACATATGCAATCGAACCACGCGCGCGCTTCGCGCGCTTGGTTTCTAGCTAGGCGCAAGCTCAGGATTCGTAATAAAACATGGGGGTGGAAGCAAATTCAGGAGAATCGAGAATATTCACTGAGAACGGGCAGCCATGAGGAATGAGGACGTGTGAAAAGGAGCGCCGGGTGGAGAGAGGCGGGAGATGGGAGGAAGAAAGAAGGCAAGCCTCGTGCTTTGTCGTCGAAATGCTGCTGCCGTTTGTAGTCGTCGTCTTCGTCCTCCTCCTCCTTCTTCCCCCCTGATCCCCATCCTCATCATCGTCATTATCATCGAAAATTACCATCATCGTCATCGTAATCATCGTAATCATCGTAATCATCGTAATCATCGTAATCATCATCATCATCATCATCATCATCATCATCATCATCATCATCATCATCATCATCATCATCATCATCAACATCATCATCATCATCATCATTGTCATCATCATCCTCATCATCATCATCAACATCGTCATCGTCATCAACATCACCAGATTTATCATCTTTCGTCCCCTCCGCTTCTCTCCCCGTCCTCGTCGTTTCCGTTCTTTCTCAGCCTTATCGCCATCATCGTCAACATCACTCCGTCGTTGCATCATCACAACATTTGGCCTCCTCCTGTTCCCTCCTTTTCCTCGTCATCTCCCCCGCCTGATCACCATTCACCTCAACACCATTACATCATCATCTCCTCCCCGTACCTGGGTTGTGGACTAGAGGCTTGCTGGGTGTATATTGGGATCTCTTCGAAGTCTCTCGGGGCCTCCTGCAGTCTGGGGGGCTGCTTGCGACCTTGGGCCTCTTGGGGGCGCGTCGGAGGCCCCTGGGGGGTCTCTTGGGGCAATCTCGGGGTGGAGGGTTCGAAACAACTCTTCGAACACCGTCTCCATTATTCTTCCATCTGATCACCATCATCAGTAGCAGCATCACCTCCTCATCCTCCTCCTCCGCCTCCTCCTCCTCCTCATCATCACCATCAACCCAAACCACGAACCACGAGCGCCTCGACAAAACCTCCTGTGGGCTCCCATCCTTTCATCCAACAGTCGGTGTGGATGGCGACAAGGTGCCCCTCAAATTACAGTGAAGCCCCCACAACCCTCGTTGTTAAAGCCACCCGTGTCTGCGGGCAGAAAGCCCCTGACCCAGACACAAGAGGGGGAGAGAGCGTCACAAGCGTCATCATCATCATCAGCATCATCATCATCAGCATCATCATCATCATCATCATCATCATCATCATCATCATCACCATAATCATAATCATCATCATCATCATCATCATCATCATCATCGTTATATCATCATCACCAACAGCATCACTACCATCACCACCATGACCATCGCGATAATAGCCATCATAACCATCATCAATATGCTCATTTCCTCCGTACTCAGCATCATCATCAACATCATCGTCACCATCATCACAATCATCATCACACTCATCATCACCATCACCATCATCCTTATCCTCATCCTCATCCTTCTCATCCTCATTCTCATGATCATGATCAGCATCAACATCATCATCATCATCATCATCGTCGTCGTCGTGGTCATTGTAGCCGCCGCCGCCGCCGTCGTCGTCGTCGTCGCCGTCGTCACCGCCATCAACATCGTCCTTGTCATTATCATGGTCATCAGTATCGCCGTCATCATCCTCAACGTTTGTCTCCACTGGGTTATTCTCTCCCTGCTCCTCTTCCTTCACCCCCTTTAGTCCTCTTCCTTCTCCTCCTCCTCCTCCTCCTCCTCCTCCTCCTCCCCCGCTCCCCTTCCCTCCTCGTCCTCAGCATGGGTTATGTGTTGCAAGAAGCCTGTCAGAGCCCTTGGGGTCCTGTTGGGAGCGCCTTGAGGGGCCTCTTTGGAGGGTCTCGGAGGCTTCCTTGGGGCGTCTCGGGGTCATTGGGCGATCTTGGCTCCCTCCTCAGGGCGTTCTTGGGAGCGTCTTGGGCCGTCTTGGGATGATAGTCGGGGCCTCTTGGGCCATCTTGGATACCCTGAGTACCGATGAAGCGACGATTTGAAAATCACGGAACAACTTTAAAACATTGAATTCTGCCTCCAGCAGCCTCTTGTCGGCTCTCTGGCAGCCCTCCGGAAGCGTCTTGGAAGCCTCTTGGCCCGTCTTGAAGCCATCTGAAGGAATGGTGGAGCGTTTTCGGGCCGTCTCGGATCCCTCTTGGGCTGCCCTGAGGGCCTGAGAGCGTCCTGGAGCCATTTTGGGCGGCGGGTTCCCCCTCTTGGCATCTCTTGAGGCCGTTTTGGGCGCTTCTGGCGGTCGTCTGGGGCGCCTCTTGCGCGATCTTGAATCCCGCTTTGGGTGCCTTGGGGCCGTCTTGGAAACATCGTGGGCCGTCTTGGGATGAGATTCGGGGCCTCTTGGGCAATCGTAGACGCCCTCAATGCCGAAAAGGCGATTCTGTGGAACTCTCTAGAAACCCTAGGAAGAAACAATGACACCTGCATCTCAACAGCCTCTTGGAAGCTCTCTGGGAGCCCTCCAGGGGCCTTAGAGGCCTGCTGGGTCGTCTTGATGCAATTTGAAGCCGTCTTGGAGCGCTCCGGGGATGTCTCGGACCCCAGTGGACCGCCCTGAAGGCGTCCAGAAGCAATTTTAGGCGGTCCTGGGAGCATACTGGCGCCTCCGGGGGGGCGGTGACCACAGCCACTGGGCAATTGGGGTGCCTCCCTGGTCCAAGACCCCGTCCCCATGTATGTTTCCTGTGCGTGCATGCGTACATGCGTGCGTACATGCATACATGCATACATACGTACATACATGCATGCATACATACACACATGCATGCGTACGTTCATATCCACCTACCGACCTACCTATTAACATACATACATGCATGCATGCGTGCATACATACACATACACATATATCCCCGCTCGCTCCGCTGCGTAGCAGTCGTCGCGGGGCCGCGCGCGGGACCGCGCGCGCGAGGCTAAAGGGGGGGGGCCCGACGCGCGCCTGCCCCGAGCAGCGCACTCAGGAGGCGACCCTCAGGGGCGGCTCCCGGACGACCCGCAGTTCGTAGCAGCGCCGCAGGCTAGCCTTGGTAAGGAGGGAGAGGTGGGTGGGGGCCGAGAAGCTGCGGGACGCCTGCGGGGCGATCGCGGCGGGGATAGGAGATAGCATCCCCGCTCGCTCCGCTGCGTAGCAGTCGTCTCGGGGCCGCGCGCGGGACCGCGCGCGCGAGGCTAAAGGGGGGAGCCCCGACGCGCGCCTGCCCCGAGCAGCGCACTCAGGAGGCGACCCTCAGGGGCGGCCCCCGGACGACCCGCAGGTCGTAGCAGCCATGCCCATGCTCAAAGCCCTTGCGCAATGACAAGTCTAGAGCGGGCGGCCGCGAGAACGAAAGGCCAGGCGGAAGGACCCGCCGACAGGAATCGTGCGACCAGGTAGTCGCCGACGCTAGCGAAGTACTCATACTGTTCCCGTGCGGGGGCAGGGGGGGGGGGGGGGGACAGTAGAGGCGGCGGCGGCCTGCAGATAGCGTTCGGCGCTGGAGGCTTGCCTCCAGCGGCCGCGCCAGAAGACGCGAGGGACGTCTTCGGTGGCAATATAAAGATCTGTAGCGCCTGAGCCTCGGAGGCGCGCGGGGGTCAATTTGAACCCCGCGGGGGCTTTAGCCAGCGGGGCGCCTAACGCACTTAGTATATGGTTCCACCGAGTACGGAAGCCGCTCTGGCCAAAGGTAGAGAGCAGATCGGTGGGCCCCAAATGCCGAAACACCAGCTCCATTATCTTCACTGTTGCTCTGTCCGAACAACGGGCGTGCTGAGTCGGATAGGTCCGACGGGTCTTCGGAGCAGGGATCGACAGGAAAGCATCACCGTCGGCTTCCAGCCTGTCGCACGGAAGCGACAGATCGCAGCGCCGCGCGTTGAGGACCTCCCCAGGCCGCAGAAACATGGTGAAACCCATGAGCAGCAGGGCGGCCATTTCAGGCCAGCCCCACGCTAAGCACAACCCGACCATGGCCCGCAGAAGCGCTCTAGGGAGCGGCGGGCGGAGGCGCGGAGGCTCGGCGAGCTTCCACTGCTTCGCAACGTCCCACGCCTCCGTCAGGAAGGCTTTCCAGTGGGAGTGGTTGGCCTGTGTGGCCAAAATCGCCTGGGCTAGAATGTAATGCGGGGAACCCGCATCGTAAAGCCACACACCAAAGGTGGCAAGGAATCTAGCCAAAAGGATGCCGCTGCGGTACAGCGTCTGGGGAGGGACCCCAGTGTGCTCTTCGAGCCACAACTCGAACGCGTCAAGCGATCTCGATCGGCGCTCCACGTAAGCGGGAGTGAGATGGGCGTCGCGAACGAACGGCGATCGCGGTCCACGAATGGGGGCGCTAAGCCCCAGGCTGCCACCCGCAGCCGCCTCTGGAGCAGCGTCCACGGCGCGCACGCAGACCCCGCACACGCACCGAAGGACAGCGGCGCGTGCGAGCGGGCCGCTGAGGCGCCCCTCCATGCCCAGCACCGCGCTGCGCTCGCGGCGCGAGCGGTAGTACGGCGGCAGGCAGTTGGCGACGATAGGTCGCTCGACGCCAGAACGGCGCGCGAGACCAGCGCGGACCTCAGTGTAGTCCACTCCTGTTTCGCGCACCACGCGGCGGGCCTCTGCCTCGATCTGCGAGGACAGAGGCGTGTCGGCTGTCTCGCAGGCCGTCGCCCACGCGATGCTGGGAGCTGCGTTAGCGCGCTGCCGCGCTGGCGACCATCCCAAGGGATGTGGGACGCTGGAGATAGCGTTGCGCCCAGCCCGCCAGTGCGGTGGCGCGCTCCCATCGCTGCTCCAAAACGTGGGAGGCGGGGCGGAGCCATCCGCGGTGGCGTGACCTAGCAGGTCAAAAAGGCAGGCCAGGGCAGCAGTCTGGCGGCGTCGGTGCACGTTCGCCCCGAGGCCGATGCCGCGCACTGCGCCGGAAGCCATGGCCCGAAACTTCGCCGGGACAGTGCTCGCGTCGACGGCCCCGGAGACCAGCGTGAGCCAGCTCGGCTCAGCGACGGGCGCAAGACCCTCCGGGCCGAAAAGGCGGCCGTAGGTCAGCAGGCCCTCGTGCAAGCAGGCCAGCGCGTCGTCGCTCTTGGGCTCGTTGAGCCCATCCGGGCAGAAGTGCTGCAGCCACCAGACTGCGTTCTGGCACAGCTCAACCATGGCGGGGTCGTCCGACGGGTAGTCGACCACCACCACGGGTTCGCCCCCGATCTCGACACGCCAGCCGAGGGCGCCTGCCGCACCAGCCGGCAGGGGCGGGTCAGGCGGGTCGGGCGAAGAGAAGCCGCGATCCCGATGACGCTGAGCATGTGCCGCGGCCGCGGCCGAGCGCAGAGTAGCAGCTGGCCGCGCAGGGGGGCGCGAACGGGCCGAGGGTGCCTGGGAGGCGGCCGCTCGGGCCGCACGACGCCGCTTGCGGCGAAGGCGCGGGCGCCCAGCTGCGGGTGAAGCTGAGGCAACCGCGTCGGGCGGGGCGTCGGAGGCCGCGTCCGAAGCGGGCGGCGTCACAGGAGCCGGGCGTGCTGGCGCAGCCTCGGCGGCTGGACGGGAACCCTGCAAGGTCGTAACGGCCCTGCTGGAACCAGCCTCGCCTGCCGAACGTGCGGGGGCACGGGGCTCGGCGGTAGGCGCGCGCCCAAGTGTGGCGGGATCAGCGTCCGCGCCAGGTGAGCCGCCGCTGGTAGCGGCCGCCAGGGACGTCGCGAGACCAGGGAAGGCTCCTGACTCGCTGCCCAGCGAAAGCCGCGCACCAGGGTCAGCCGTGGCTGCAAAAACAGCAGCAGCGCCCATCGCGAGGGAGCGCCGGTAGCACCATCGCGAGTGTGCGGTAATGGCGACGGCACGCAGATGACCGTCGTCGGGGTTGGCTTCAGCAGCCTCCAGGGCTACCACGAGCGCGCGGGCGGCTACCGCGACGTTGCGCGCGCGGCGGCCAGAGTCGGCTACGCCAGCACGCGCATCCGCGCGAAAGCGACTCGCCATTGTGGCGAAGGGAGCCCGAGCCGCGCGCTCAGGCAGCGGGAAGTGCGAAGCTCGCTGCGTGGCGACTCGGAGGGCCCCCCCCGGGTCGCTCCTAGGAGCGGAACGTGAGCGCGGAGGCCTGGGCGACCGACGCGCGCGGGTGGCAACCACCCGATGGCGGGACCGAGCGCCGCCCTCAGGGCCAGGCGCCCCCTCGGGCGTCGGCGGAGGCGGTGGTCCCGCGCGGTCGCCGCCTCGGGAGCGCGACCGCTCCGGGCGGTGGCCGCTGGCTCGGGCCCGCCAACTCGCACCGGAGGAGGCGGAGGCGGCGGAAGTGGAGCCCGCGCTGCAGGCGGGGCAGGCGGCCTCGGCGCAGGAGGGCGAGGGCGCGCCTTGGGCCCAGCACGCGAGGTCCCCAGAACGGGCGGCGGAGCTGATGCGGGCCGCGTCGCCGGCCTCTTCGGAGGGCAGGCGCGGATCAGGCGCTCAGCCGCCGAGATTGGACGTGCTGAGGCCGACCCAGCCGCCTGGCTGGCGCTTCCTCCACTGCTGGCCGCGCGCCTCGGGTCGCGAGGCGGGCCGCGCCGCGAGGCGGACCCAGGGGGCGGACCCTGAGGCTCAGGTGGCTTCGGGTCGCGCGGGTCGCGCCCCCCCGGCCCGTCAGTATCGGTGCCGTACGGGTTGGGGGACTCTGAGCGGCGAAGCGGTCCGCCAGGCGGGGTTGGGGGCCCCTCGACGCCGGGAGACCGAGCCTCAGCCTCGCTCCCGAAGGCGGCGTCAGCGCTCGGAGAGCGATCAGCTCGCGAGCGGCTGCGCTGGGGGCGGTCCGACGCCTCTGGGCGGGCAGCGAACAGCCTCCGATTGGCTGCTCGCCTGGCGGTGCGCCCAGGCCGAGTAGGCGGACCCGCGGGGCCTTCCAGGGGAAGAACGGCACCGCGGTCGGCGGCGGAGGCCGCCCGACGGCGCTGCTCGCGACCGCCATTATAGGCCGAGCAGGGTCGTCCCTGCGGTGGCGCGACCGAGAGACGTGCGCCTCTAAAGCTTCGGGGCGAGGGCCCAGCCGCTCTCGCACAGCGCGCGCTTCACGACGGGAGAAGGTAGGAGGCACCTCCTGGTCGGCGCGGGCGTGGGCCCGAGGGTCGGCGGCGAAGACCGCTTCGTGCTGGTCCAGAGACGGGCCCCCGCGGGAGGGGATCCCATCTGGCGCCCGCGCCGCGAGGGCTTCGCGCTCGGCGCGAGCCTGAACCTCGCCTCGGTTGGAAAGTCCCCTCAGCGTCGAGCTGAACCGCCGAGCCAGCTCGTGCGGAGCTGTCCGAGGCCCCCCTCGGCTTTCCGCCTGCGCCGCGGCGGTGAGGCGGCGCATGTGGATGCGCTCAGCCATCCCCGTCGCCAGGTCCTGGCGGGCACGAGCCCTCGCTGCTGGGTCGTGCAGGGGGTCAGCGACGACAGCCCTCTGGATTGCGCTGCGCGCCTCCCTGATCTCCCCGGGGTTCGCGGCAGCACGCGAGGCGACATCCTCGGCTACAGCGAGCGCCTCCGACGTGGGCCTAGCCGCCTGCGGCTCGGAGACCCCCGAGCGGCGAGTCGGAGGGCACGCGGGGCCGTCCGTGAGCTGCGAGCCCGCACGGATCTCGCTCCGCGCGGAGTGCACGCGATCGCTCAAGGCGTCGTCGAGGGAGGCCAGCATGTGCGTCAGGCCTGCTGCCCGCCCGCCGCGGCCTTTGCCCTTGCCCGCGGCGTGGGCCTTGGCCAACGCACGCGCCGCTGCGCCGCTCCCCGCGGCAGGGTCCGCGCCGTCCGCCTCAGCCTGGGCGGCCTGGAGGAGGACGTTCTTAGCCTCGCAGAACCTCCTCCAGCGGGTGAGGTCACCCGTAGGCTTGTCCGGGTGGAACCGGCCGGCCAGCGCGCGGAACTGGCGCTGGATCGCGGAGTGTCCCGCGCCCGCACGGACCTGCAGCAGGCTGCGCGCAGCCGCTAACCGCGGGGCGGCGGCAGGTCGTCGGACGACCCTAGCGTCGAAGCCTGTCACGGCGTCACGGCCGTGCGCCGCGCGCATCGAGGCCAGATCGCCGGGGCCGGGCACGGCGGCCAAAGTGGCCTGGCGCATAGCAGCACCGGGAGCCGTATGCCCTGTGTCGTGGCCCGCCGCGTGCGCACCCTCCGCGCCAGAAGCCTCAGCGTCGGCTGCTGACGCGGCGGGGGCGGACGCGCGGCTGCGGTAGTCTAGCGCGTTGATTGGCCCACGGGGCCGAGGGGCGCCTTCGGAGGCGCCCTCGCTGGCAGCCGAGGCGCCGCCCGCCGAAGCAGCAGGCTCGGCGGCACCATCGCTGCGGGCGGCCATGCCGCCCGGGTGCTCGGGAGCGCGGCCGCCCTCGCCAGTGCTCAAAGAGCCACTAAGCGGCTCTGCGGATAACGCAAGTAAGGCTAACCGAGCCCACAGGCAGGCAGGATATCAGGAGGCGGTGTCGGCCTCCGCAGTGACATCAAAGCGCGACGGGTCCCCTCCCGAGAGATCAGTCAACCAAGCGGGCTCGACGCGGGAAGGGGGGCGAACTGACCGACCTCGAGTCGGGTCGTCAGCGCGATGCGCATCCGTCGGCACATAGAGTCCCCCCATATACAAGCCCCCCCCAAAAATGTAGGGGAGCGCAGTGCTGAGCCCATGAGGCAATCCTGGGGAGCTGCTCCTGCCGTGCGCTGCCGCGCCCAAGGCGACTTGCGAATCCAAGAACACCGCGATCCTGCTGTCAGGGGTGCGGATACAGCAATACTTACACAAACTCTTGTACACACTTGTCTCAATAATGTTAATGTGACGAGGCACTCGGAACTGCCGTTTATAGACCAAACGAAAGCGCAGCGCCTCGCACAACTCAGTGATCCACCGCGGCGCGACGGGGCGCTCCAGAGAGGGCATGCCTATCATCTGATGCCAGGCTGCTAAAGTCGCGCCCACCTCCTCGCCAGGTCGGCTCAGAACAGCGAGAAAACCATCGTCGCACAGGCGAGTGTGCCAGCCGCCGTGCTCAGAGCGGCGCCAGAGCTCCGTCGCTAAAGGCGCGGCGGCTCGGCTACTGACGACGCCGCCCCAGCAGAGCGAAGCGTCGGTGCCAAAGACCTCGGGGTGATGCTGCGCCCGAAGGTCCGTCATAGCGACGAAGGCAAGATAAGTGCACGCCTGAAGCTCGTCCCGTACCGAGGGAGGCAAAACGTACTCGGCGCCATCGTCAAGCGATGAAATAAACGCATAAGTGCGCGTGAATAGGGGGAGCATGGGGCGGCGGTGCAAAAACACTTGCACCCAGCAACCCGTGAGCGAGCTAAGGGGAGCCCGAGCGCTGCGGCCAAGGTGCACCTGAATGAGGGTCAGGCGACACAGAGCCACCGTGCGCACGAGGGGGGCACACACGATGCCTATGCGGCCTTCCACCTCGGCCCCCACTACCACGGTGTGGGACAGCCCTCTGACGCGCTTGCCAGGGTGTTGGATCAGACCCACACGCGGGTAGCCAGCATCGCATGCCTCAAACACGGCACGATCGCGACGCTCAGGGGAGTTGGGATGAGGAGCAGAGCCCCGCCAAGACAACTTCTGAAACCCCGTGTGATCATCTATGTTAAGCATCTCCACATATGGCCCACGCGGAAAAGGTTGTCTGTGGATCGCCTGCTCGTGCGCGCGGAGCGCTCCGAAGCTCAGCAGAACGCCCTCATGGGCGGAGCTCGCAATCTCAACCGCCATGTTGTCGCCCATAGCGAGGGCGTTGAGGCAGGGGCTGACATCGAGCCCCTGGAGCTCGGGGCGCCAGGCCCGAAAGGTCCGAAAGCGACTGCTCGGGAGACGCACTCGCAGTGCGTTCCGCCTGGCCCGGGCAAGCGGCACCCGGAACGTGTAATAGAATTCACGAAGGTCATCGCATGACACAGCGAGCCACTCGCCTGGAGCCAACCCAAGGCGACAGAGCAAAAATCCCTGACCCAGCCGCTGAGTGCTGGACGAGATGCTCTGACATCGACTGTTGACCACAGTGGGGTTCAAGATCAGCCGATCGTGATGCTCGTCTTTAGGAACTCGAAAAGCCCCGCAGGCCTCGTCCCAGACAAGGTCCGAGGTGGGGGTGATAAATAGAGCTCCACAAGAGTCCCATTTCTCCAGGAGGGCCCAGAGCTCCGACCTGTCCATATGCACCCGAGCGGGTGGCATCCCGTCGGGCCAGGCCTCTGGAGGCCGACGCATGATCTCGGGATCGTGAAAGGCAGAGCGGACCACAGGGTCGGCAAGAAACGGGGTGGGATCAAACGAGGGTGAATAGTCCCACTTGATGCGGTCCGCCCGGACCCGAAGGTCGAAGGGCTCGGCCTGAGTGGAGTCCCAGCCCGCCGCGGCAGCCAGCGAATCGACCAAGGGAGTCGCGCTGACAGGCAGGGTCCGCATGGGGGCGGGCACCTGCGAGGAAGAGGTGAAGGAGGCCTCTAAAGCTGCAACGTGGGTAGCCAGACCACGGAGCGAGACCTCAGTGGAGTCGAACTTGGAGAAAGCTCGACCAAGGTCGCTCTTGCCGCCACGGGCAAGGCGAACTGCAATCCTGCACAAGCGTTCCAGACGCTCGCGAATCCCCTCCTGGCAAGGGGTAACCGTTTCGCGGACCTGAGCTTCGGGAGAAGCGAAGCTAGGATGTCCCAGCGTCAGCCAGTTGAGAGCGACAACCGCAGGCTGAGGCAAGGTCCGCGCAGCCCGACGGATCCGCCAACGCTCCCGCGCCCGACCCACCAACGAAGAGGGGGGCGGCGGCAGTGCTGGGGCATGCGGACACGGCCACGGATCGCGGGGCGCTCGCTCATAAGAGGAGTCCCGAGCCGACGCGGAGAGAGAAGAGCGGGTCAATGAAGCCAGCGAGCACCGACTGCCCATCCCCGCCTGGGCAAGAGCAGCAGCCCAGTGGGACGCGTCGATGTTGGCGCCAGGGAAGAGGCGCAGCAAGGCAGAAATGTCCAGCACGAAGGGAGGCGGACCCGCAGCAGCCGAGGCAGACGGCATGCTGGGCAAGGAAGAGCCGAAGACGGCAGAAGGAGCAGAAAGAGCCTCGGGGGCCGAGCGAGACTCACCATGGCGGCGCGCGGGGCCCCCTGCAAGGTCGTAACGGCCCTGCTGGGGCCCCCCGCGCCTACCACCGTGAGACCGCTCAGCCCAGAAGCGCCGCGCTGCGGCAGCGGGCGTCTTGCCGGCCGCCCACGAGCGCGTCCCTCCGCGGGCGGACGCACCAGGCCCAGCCGCTACTTCTTGGGCGGCGGGGGCTTCTTGGGCGTCTTGGGCACCTTGGGCTCCGCCTTGGGAGCTTTCGGCTGCGAGGGGGCCAGCTGCTGTCGAATCGCATGCAGCTCCCGCATGTACTCCCCCTGGGCGGACAACCGTCGCGGGTCCACCACCTCCGAGAAAGGGGAGTGGACCTCCCTTCCCATGTGCAGAGCGGTCGTCCTGGTCGGGAGATCCTCCAGCCCCGTCAGAAACCAGGGCGCTTCCAGCCGCCCCTGACCCCCTGCCGTCTGATCTACGAACATGCACTGGCAGGCGATCAACGTGTGCACTCGGTCCGCTCGCCCCTCTTCTGCCGCGCGCCAGAGCTCGGCACTGAGCCATGCCATGTGGGTGAGCAGAGGGTGAAGAGCGGCGTTGGCCCCCAAAGGGCTGTGCTCGCGAAAGTATGTGAACGTCGCGTGAAGCGTCAGGTCCGCGGGGTCGACTCCCAGCGGTCTTGCGAGGTTCGACCGCATCAATGCCCTGATCTCGGGCCCGTGCTGGTTCAGCGTGTTCTGCCAATCCCGACGGCGTGCGATCCCTCGCATACCTGGGTGCTGGACGATGCCTCCGCTGCCGCTTCCGCCGTAGGTCGGCAGATCCTGGGCTGCCTCGCTCAGCGGTCCCAAGAGCGGGTGAGCGGTGGGCCGCGACCCGCTGCTGTTGCTGCAGCGAGGCCCGCAGGCGCTGCAGAGCTAGACTCAGGTCCGACGCGGGGGGGGGCTCCCGGTAGCCCTTCCGACACCGCGGCGGCCGCCTCGGCGGCTGCGCCACCCGCGTGAGCGGCCAGGCCAGGCGGCAGCTGAGGCATGGGCGCTTTGGGGGGCGAGGCGCCCCCGGGCGGCTGGCCCCACGCCGCCGCCAGAGCAGAGGCGGGGGTGGGGCGCTGCTGAACGCGGCTGGGCACAGTGGGCGCTCTCCCTAAAATCTCGTCCATCATCGCGTCTTGCTCGGGGGAAACCTGCAGACCCACGCGGGCGGCCTCGTCCGCGAAGAGCTGGGGCGCGCCCGCCCGAGGAGGAACGCCAGCCCCTGGAGCGCCGAGCGGCGGGCCCTGCAACCTCGAGGCCTGCTCGGCCATCATTGCGCGAATCTCGGACTGGAGCTCTGCGCGGGCCTGAGGTACTCCGTCCAGATCGTCGAGCGCCGGCTCCGCCACCCGCGCAGACCGCTTGGGCACGGCTGCGCCAGGGGGAGGGATGAGAAGGGCGCGACTCGCGCGCTTCGGCGCACCGCGCCCCGCGCCGGCAGGGGGAGCTGCGGCCTCGGCCTCGGCGTCCTGAAAGGGTTCCGAGTCTGCCTCTAGCTCGGCACCTCCCTCGTCGGCTGTCTGGCACGGAGACGCCCGAGAGGCGACCTGGGGAGGCGAACGGCGCGTAGGTGAAGCCGTCGGGCGGCGGCTCGGGAGGCATCGGCCCTAACGACTCGAGCTCGAGTTCGGACACTTCGAGGTCGATAGCCAGAATTTCTGCCGTGGTGGCGAGGGCCCGAGACGCCGCCCCTAGAAGCGGCGCGCTTGTCACTTGGTAAGGCCCTAGCAGGCCTGAGTAACCCCGTCCATCGGCTTCTCCGAGGGCAGCGGCATCCCTGAAGGCGAGGGGCAAGGCGAGTAAAATGCCGCCTTTGCGGCGCCCCAGAGGAATGGCTGCGTGCGCGTGCTCGTATTCGTCCAGACGCCATCGAGCGTAAGTGTTGGCGCTGGGAGGGTCGAACGCGCGGGGGTCGGGCCAGACGGGCCCTTTTGGAACGGCGGCGTCGGCGCCGCCAACGGCAGCAGCCATTCAAGAAGCGAAGAGAAGACAGGCCCCTGAAGGGCCCGACGGGGCGCACCCCGACCAGGCAGTGCCTGGGCTGCCCGAGGGCAGAAGAAAAGAAGCAAGCGCCCCTCGGCCCCAGCAGGGCGAGGAAGCACGTCAGGGCGGTGGCCCGCCGCCCTGGCCCGCGCTTCCGCGCGGCGCTCCCCGTAGACGGGGGCAGCAGGAAGTGCTATGAGAGGATCCAAGCGCACTGCCGGCTGAGGCTGGGGGGCACGATAGCGCCCAACCCAGCAGCGGAGCGCAAGCGCTCCGACGCAGCCGCCGCCGCAACAGCAGCAAGCTGCGGTGGCCACCAATGCGGCGACCACGCTGGGGAGCAGGAGGGGCGTCAGCCCGCTGCTCAAGTCCACCGCCAGCCCGAGGCAGACGGTGGGCGGCGGAGGCCCAGGGGGCTGGGAAGGGCACGTGCCCCCTCCCCCGCCCTCAGGGCCCCAGCCGAGGGGCCAAGAGCTGCCCGCAGGGGGCGAGCCCTCGTCCCACGGAGGGGGGTGGCCAACGAGGCGCTCGTAGAGCACGCCCCGCAACCGCTGGTAGGCGAGCACCCCGAGTCCTTGTGCGAGGAACTCGAGGGCCGCTTGCATGCGCCAGGGGGAGCTCGGCCGACGGAACCGCGCGCGCGCGTCCTTGTTGGCCGAGAAGCTGCAGGACGCCTGCGGGGCGATCGCGGCGGGGATAAGAGATAGCACGTGCAAATAAACATACATACGCACATTCACACATGCATACATACACACATCGACACATACATGTATACACATATATCAGCATACGAACCCACATCCATAACTGAATGCATGACGACACACACATACATGCATGCATACAAACAACACCATGCAGACATACAAACAAACACGCACACACACGCATGCATATCTGTATACATATATACATACGTGCACGCACGCATCCGTACACGCATACATGTAGACCACATACGTGACTGCACATACATACATACACATACATAGCTACATTGACCCATAGTCACATACGCACAACATGCACATATACATGCATGCATACATCCTACCTTGCAGACATACACTACACACGTACATACATACATGCACACATACATACAAACATACCTACACACATACAAACAGTCACACACGTTAACATGTGCAAGCACGTACATACACAAGCACGTACATACATACATCAACCCACATATACCCATACATACACACAACTACATGCATACATACACGCGCACGCACGCACGTACACACATACACACATACATGCACACAAACATACACATACACATATATGTCCTCGCTGGTATATCCTTAGGATGCCTCAGGTTCAATGACAGGTTCAAGGCAACTTCGCACAGCACAGCACCAGCGGTGGCACACATGTGGTTAGCCACTGCGAGAGTCAGCCTCCGAGCCCCCCTAAACGGCTGAATATTTCAACCAACCTTTTGAGAACGCAGGGCTGGTTGCAATACTGGAGGCTTCTGGCTGTAAATGAAAGATCTGCGAGGCACGGAGTGGAGTTCTCTCCAGGTCCTCGTGTGTCCTGTCCCCCGTGCTCAAGACTTCTTGGGATTATGGTCTTCTGGGGGCCAGGCGGGGGGCCCCAACTCCCAAATTTCCTGGGCGCTCCCGCGGGCTCTTGGGCTGGCCTGCATGGATTTTCCGGAGGCCAGGGCCCCACGACGGGCCAAGACGGCCCCAGAAAGCGCCAAAGCAGGTCCAAGAGGCCTCCAATACAGCCCAAGAGCGCTCCAAGACGCCCAAGACGGCCCAAGAGGTCCCAAAGAAGCCCTAAGAGCGCTCCAAGAGGACCCCCAAGACGGCCCACAGACTCACAAATCATTGATGCTCCTTGCGTTTTTCTTTGTTTTTCGCGTTCTCGCGTTTTCGGGCTTCCGACGCTCCAAGATGGCCCCAGAGGCGCCCAAGACCGCCCCAAAACGGCCCCAGAGCCTCCAAGAGGGTCCCAAAACGGCCCAAGAGGCGTCCAAGATAACCCAAGAGGACCCCCAGACGGCCCAAGAGAGGGAACACGAACCGACGATTCGAGCCTTCCGACCCAAGTGGTCCCCAGGAGGCCCAAAGTGGCCCCCAAGAGAGTCCAAGAGGCCCCCTAGAAGTCCCACGAAGCCCCCAAGAGGCCCCAAGAAACCCCTGAACGGCCCCCAAGAGGCTTCACAACTGCCTCCAACAGGCCCCCGAGAGGCCTCCAACGATATCCAAACAAACATCCAAGAGGCCTCTAACCCACAACCCAGGAACGGTGGCGGGATGGGCCGAAAGCCTCTCCTTCTCTCCCTGTATGCATGTATATACACATGTATGTATATGAGAGCATCAGCGAATTGCACGCCCTCAGGGCCCGCAGGGCGCACTGCCTATGATGGCCTCGCACAACGCCTTGTGTGGTATAATGGCCTCGCAAAAAACATTGGGACCATCTGGACAGCAATCGGGACCACCCCTGGCACCAACATGGAGACAACCATCATGAAAACCATCGGGACATGCATCGGCACAACCATCGGGATAATCATCGGGACAATCATCGGGACAACCATCGGGAGTCTGGGCAACCACCTGGACAACCATCGGGACAATCAGGACAACGATCGGGACAACCCGCACACACGGGCTGGGCCGGGGCGACTCATGTTTCCCTAACTTGGCCTCTACTACCGCGCAACTTCGCCTCGCCTGACCGGCACGCACATCAAGCACGACACGAACCGAACTCATTAACTGTTTTCCCAAGTGGGCAGCTCCGTTTGACTTCGATCTCACCTCCCAACAGCCGACCCCAACCCGTGGGCCGAACATCCTGCGCCACCATCGGACCTGCGCTGTCCCGACAACTCGTGCCGACTCAACGGATGGCCTTGGCTAGGCGTGGTAGTTGTGAGTAGATGCCTTCTGCGGAGATCCTCCCAATCCACCGTGTCCGTGCAGGACGCGTCGATCTTCTTGAAGAGTATCCCCAGCTCGTGGACCCTCCCCTCCTCCTGCTCCTGCTCCTGCTCCTCCTCCTCGTCCTCCTCCAGCCTGCCTTTTATACCCTCCCCTTCCCTTCCCCTCCCCCCCGCCGACTTCGCTGCGACGCGGCGTCGGTGCCATCCGCAAGGCGTGGCTGGTCGCTGGACAGTGCCTTCACGAACTGCTCCAGCGTCAGCTTGATAGGCTGGCCGCTTCTGTCTTGGAACTTGTCTTTTAGCTTCTTCAGCTGGCTCAGATGATCCTGTCGACTGCACACAAGAACAACCCCAGGCATATAGTCTCAGGGTTCTCAGACAGTCTGGCAAACGCTGGAAAATTTCTTCTACCGAAAAATAAGGGTGGCTCGGAAACGGAGCAATAACAACAATTAGTTAAACATACGAAACATCGCTAACGAACATTCATCCGAACATTTTCATAATATTTGATATTTCCATGATTTGCAACGCCGGCTCAAAAAGGAACACAAGCGGACAATAGCAATACACATAAGACAATAGCTGAACATACATATGTTTTCGCACCTTTTTTTCCTCCTCATTGTCCATAGTTCATTATTTGCAACGCCGGTTCAGAAAGGGAACAACATTAAACAATTGCAAGCATTTTTCCTCCGCAACGCGCGAGAACCCCAACTCCATGAACAACCACGCAAGCGAGCACTCCATTGAACACCAACGGCACCTGTGACCCTTCATCACGGGCGATAAATCACTGAAACTTTAAGATTGTGGGGAAAAGGTCGCACGAGCGACAACATCCGGTACCGCGCACACGCGGGCAAGGAGATGGGTGGAGGAAGGGGAACGAGCAAAGCAGCAGAGGAGAGCGGACGGGGCGAGACTGCCTGCAGCACAAAGAACCAAATAATAATGCCCAAAGTGTTTACGCGGCGCCCCATTGCAAGCATTATGAGATGGTGTAGACAATTGCAAGCAGTATGAACACATAGCTAACACATACTTGTTTTCATAGTTTGTTTTCTCCAAATAGGCTTGCCCTCTAGGAGTCCTAGCTCATCATTAGTAATTGGTCTTTAGCACCCACCCTTTTTTCCAATGCCCCCCCCTATTTCCAATGCCTCCCCCCCTCCCCCCCCTTTCTTCAATGGCCCCCCCCTTATTTCGAATGGCACCCCCCAGTTATTACCAATGGCGAGTCCTATGCTTGCTCTTGCTTGCTTGCACTTGATCGCTGGCTCTCGCTTGCTTGCTCTTGATTGCTTGCTTGCTCTTGTTTGCCCTTGCTTGCTTGCACTTGATCGCTGGCTCTTGCTTGCCTGTTATTGCTCGCTTGCTTCCGCTTGCTTGCTTGCGCTTGCTTGATTTTGCTCCTCCCGTCCTCCTCCCGTCCTGCTCCCGTCCTCCTTTCGTCCTCCTCCCATCATCCTCTCGTCCTCCTCCTGTCCTCCTATCTATCTGGAGCCAACGCTGGCTGATATCCATATTTCTCCATAGTGTCATTATTTGCAACGCCGGCTCAGATCAGGACAGCGAATCACCAAACATAGCTGAACATATATGATCACTTCCATATTGAATTAATTGCAATGCTGGCTCAGACCTTTCAAACAAAACATCAACAACATATAGCAACACAAACAAGTGAAACACTTAAACCACTGTTATCATTTAGCGTTTTGTTATTCTCCATGTTTTCATTATTTGTAACGCCGGCTCGGAAAAAAAGAAACATAGCAAAACAACAATACCAAAACATATGAAACAATAACTAAACATCTAGGTGTTCACACATTGCTGCGTATTTTTCGATATTCTCATTGCTTGCGTCGCCGGCTCAGAGAGAAAAAACATCAGAACACAGAAAGCACGAAACATATATACAAATGTTATTGTCATACCTTTTCCATAATTCTCCATATTGTCAGTGTTTGTAACGCCTGCTCAGAACAGGACAAATATCAAACAATAGCAAAACAGGAAGAACCGCTAGAAACAAATGTTTGCATGCATTTTCATGATCCGCCAATCTTTTTCCTGCCAGGCTCTACGGTCTTTGAGGGCGGCGGCAGCGAACGAACAAGCTTGCGAGAGAGATATGCCAGCGCCTGAAAGCACTCCCAGGTTAGAAACAAAGAACGTTACATTTGAGATGCACAATGATGGCAGAAGCGCGCGCGGTGCAAAGCATGCGACACGAGAGGCGGCCGTCCAACACTGCTCAGCATACTCCTGCAAGCATGTGTCATGCTTCGCCAATCTTTTTCCTGCCGGGCTCTACGGTCTTTGAGGGCGGCGGCAGCGAACAAGCAAGCTTGCGGGGGAGATGTGCCGGCGCCTGGAAGCACTCCCACACCCACTTCCATGAAGTGTTCTGGGCGATCGCCCGCTAAACCTTTACAACCTCATAGCGCAGAAAAAGACGAGGACCCACCAAGCCCACGCAGGAACGATTGAGAGCATCAGAAAACGCGTTGGCAACCTGATCACATAACTCTTTCGGATATTCCTGTGAACCCGAGGTCCGCCACTGGCCGAAACGGTCCTTCCCATGCAGCTGAATGTGGGCTCTGCCAGAGAAGCTGCGCACGCCCTTGCAGCCCGAACACCTGCGAGCATGCGAGGCGAGTTCAGGGAAATGCCAAGCGAGCAGGCCAGTGGACTTGCGCCAGCGGGCTCCATAACCACACTGGTCAAAAACAAGAAAAG